AATTGTGATTTCTTCTTTTCTTCTTCATACCTGGAGAGGGGGTCCCTTCGGCCCATCAAGACCCCTCTTGCCGGCTTCACCGGCGACACCATTGATTCTGAGGGGATCATAACCCTCCCGGTCATCTTCGGCGACGGCTTCCATAGAGCCAAGCTCGAAGTGGAGTTCGTCGTCGTCAACATCGACTGCGCCCACAACATCATCCGCTGGCAGAGGACAAAAGCCGCTCGGCTTTTGCAAAAGCTGCCCGGCTTTCGGGCCCTGCAGCACGAAAACAGCTCCTAGCAATGGCGGTTTCCGACGATTTCGATTCCTATCGATTCCACAACTCTTCTAAGTTAAATACCAACACTTTAAATCATTTTTCTACACCTTTAAAATGTGTAGACATCCCCTAGAATCCATCATATGATTTCTATAAAATCATACACGAATATATATATATATATATATATATATATATATATATATATATATATATATATATATATATATATATATATATATATATATAACGGAAGAACAAGAACCGGAGCTACGAGGTTCTTACCGCTAGACTTTGTTTTCTCTTGGATTGCTCCTCTTCTTGACCTTCTTCCTTCTTGGTTTTGTGAGGTGTGTATGGAGCTCTCAATACTCCCCTCTCCTTTGTGTCTTACGCAGGACCTCTCAAATGAAGGTATAAGGAGACTCCCCTCCCTTATCTTCTATTTTTGGAAGGTTGGGCCAATTTAGTTGGCTTGGGTTCGCGGGCTGCTCCTTTTAATTTACTCTGACCCAAATGACTTTTATTCGTTTACTTATATTATGTTAGGTTTGTAGACCTCAATAGATCGATCCTAAAATTTATTGGATATTCCTCTTCAATGTTCCGTGCTTAAACCCCTTTACCTTTCTATTATTAGAAAGTGGCTCAAAAAGTCTCTTTATATTATTCCTTTACTTTTTATCCGGCCCAAACATTCGTATATAACTTATCTCCTTATCATTGGGCTTTTAACTAATTTAACATGGTCCAAAAATATACTAGTTAATCCCTCCCCATGTTTTTAGGGTCCGACACACAATATAATTAATCGGTATTAATTTAATCAATTAATCATTTCTCATATGATTAATATTTTTGTAACTAGTTTACAAAATGAATAAGTATTCACGAACTCAACTAGTCATCCTCATCGACATTGGTATTTGTAATTTCTATTAAATTTTAATATTAATGGATTAATTAATCCCAGTTCAAATTGGGAGCGGTGTCACACGCTGAGGGGCCAATCGTGCGACATAAGATAGTGGTCCTCATTTGCTCGTCGTACCTGCTCATTAACCCGGTCCTTTGGATCCTGATCCTCTTGGGATTCCTTTGTTTAATCCTCTTGGGATTCTTTTGTTTGATCTTCTTGGGATTCTTTTGTTTGATCCTCTTGGGATTCTTTTGTTTGATTCTCTTGGGATTCTTTTGTTTGATCCTCTTGGGATTCTTTTGTTTGATCCTCTTGGGATTCTTTTGTTTTTGTTCGTCATCCGCTCGTCGTACCCGCCCTTTTTGCCTGGTCCTTTGGATCCTTAGCTGAGCTAAGTCAACGTAGTCGGTGAGGAACAGGTTTGTCCCCTTTAGGGATTCCCCAGCCCAAATATATATATATATACATATATATATATATATATATATATATATATATATATATATATATATATATATATATATATATATGGGCTTATCTTTGTTTCGCCATCTGCTCGTCTTACCCGCCCTTGGGACCGGTCCTTTGGATCCTGAACTGAGCTAAGCCGCGATTGTGATGGGAAATGAGTTTATCCCCTTTGGGGATTCCCCATTTCTTCGTTTCGTCATCCGCTCATCTTAATCGCCCTTTAGCCCGTTCCTTTGGATCCTGAGCTGAGCTAGGCCGCGATTGTGATGGGAAACGGTTTTATCGTTTTGAGGATTCCCCGGTGCCCCTCTATTTTTTAGGGGGGTCTTTGAATATGATGATGGCATCGTACTAGGGGTCGGTGGCTATATAAAGGTGTCGGTGTTGGGGCCGATCTCTAAGAATCAATCAACGGTCCTCATCTGCGAGGAGCAGGGACGAGGCCGGTCTTCAAGTATGATGATGGCACCGTACCTGGGGGGTCGGTGGCCATATAATGATGTCGGCACTAGGGGCCGATCTGAAAGAATTAATCAACGGTCCTCATCCGCAAGGATCGCGGATGAGGCTGGTCTTCAAATATGATGATGGCACCGTACCAGGGGGTCGGTGGCCATATGATGATGCCGACACTGGGGCCTGATCTGAAAGAATCAATCAACGGTCCTCATCCGCGAGAACTGGGGATGAGGCCGGTCTTCAAATATGATGATGGCACCGTACCAGGGGGTCGGTGGCCACGAAATGATGTCGGCACTGGGGGCCGATCTGAAAGAATCAATCAATGGTCCTCATCGCGCGAGGAGCGAGGACGAGACCGGTCTTCAAATATGATGATGGCACTGTACTAGGGGGTCGGTAGCCATATGATGATATCGACACTGGGGGCCGATCTGAAAGAATCAATCAACGGTCCTCATGCGCGAGGAGCGGGGATGAGGCCGGTCTTGAAATATGATGATGGCACCATACCAGGGGGTCGGTGGCCATATGATGATGTCGGCAATAGGGGCCGATCTGAAAGAATCAATCAACGGTCCTCATCTGCGAGGAGCGGGGACGAGGCCGGTCTTCAAATATGATGATGGCACCGTACCATGGGGTCGGTGGCCACGAAATGATGTCGACATTGGGGGCCGATCTGAAAGAATCAATCAACAGTCCTCATCCGCGAGGAGCGGGGATGAGGCCGGTCTTCAAATATGATGATGGCACTGTACCAGGGGGGTCGGTGCCCATAAAATGATGTCGGCACTAAGGCCGATTTCTGAGAGAATCCATCAACGGTCCTCATCCGTGAGGAGCGAGGACAAGGCCGGTCTTCAAACATGCTCGTCCCACGGCCCTCGGTCGTGATAGTCTTCTTGAGGTCCTCGGCCTCCTGGTGGATATACTCGTCTCACAGCCCTCGGCCGTGATAGACTCCTTGGGATCCTCGGTCTCCTCTAGCCATGAACGCCCCGACCATGAACATCTCTGCGTTTCATGCTGAACGTCGTTGACCTCTCCGCTCAAGTCTATCGAACGACTTTGAATGATTCTGTCAACGTTGCCGGTCATAAACGTCTCTGCGCTTTATGCTGTCATTGATCTCCCCGCTCGAGTTTATCGAACGGCTTTGCCTGATTGTGATTTCTTCTTTTCTTCGTCATACCTGGAGAGGGGGTCCCTTCGCCCCATCAAGACCCCTCTTGCCGGCTTTACCGACGACACCATTGATTCCGAGGGGATCATAACCCTCCCGGTCATCTTCGGCGACGGCCTCCATAGAGCCAAGCTCGAAGTGGAGTTCGTCGTCGTCAACATCGACTGCGCCCACAACATCATCCTCGGCCGGCCAGCCCTCGAGGATCTCGAAGTCGTCATCTCCATGAGGCACCTCTGCCTCAAGTTCCCAGCCGAAAGGGGGATTGGTTACTCAAGGGGGAACCAAAAGCTTGCCCGCGCTTGCTACCTTCAAGTTACAAAGAAGGTTAGCAAGATGGAGTTCCGCGTTGACACCATCACCGGAACTGTGGAAGCGGAAGAAAGGAGGCCGAGGGCTGAACCAGTCGAGGAGGTAGAAGACTTCGCGCTCGATCCGGCCAAGCCGGAGAGAGTCGTGAAGATTGGAGCCAAGCTCCCTGAAGACCTGAAGGCCTACATCATCAGCGCCCTCCGCGCCTACTCCATTGTTTTTGCATGGGGGTCGGAGGACATGTCGGGGATCAGCCGAAGGGTCATCACCCACCGCCTCTCGGTGGACCCTTCGGCCAAACCAGTACAACAGCGGAGGAGACCCCTCTCGGCCGAGAGGAGGGAATTTGTGAAGAAGGAGGTCGCCATGCTCCTCTCTATCAAGCACATCAAGGAGGTGAAGTACCCCTCATGGCTGGCAAACGTAGTCCTCGCACAGAAACCACCCTCATTCCGCATGTGCGTGGACTACACGGATCTCAACAAGGCGTGTCCCATGGACCCCTTTCCTTTGCCCAATATTGATCAACTAGTGGATGAAACCGCGGGCTGTGAAATCATGTCATTCCTCGACGCGTTCCGCGGATATCATCAAATATACATGCATGAGGAAGACGCTGAAAAAACAGCCTTCATGACTCCCGAGGGCATCTTCTGCTACCTTGTCATGGCCTTCGGCCTAAAGAACTCGGGCGCCACCTACACCCAGATGGTGGCCAGGGTATTTCAAGTTGTCCTAGGGCGCACCATGGAGGCGTATGTTGACGACATGATCGTAAAGAGCAAGCAATCAGCAAGCCATGCTGATGACCTGAGGGAGATCTTCGCCATCATACAGAAGTTTAGCCTTCGGCTGAACCCAAAGAAGTGTACCTTCGGCGTTCAGGGGGGCAAATTCTTGGGCTACATGGTGAGCCGAAGGGGTATCGAGGCCAACCCCGAGAAAATCCAGGCCATCATCAACATGGAGACCCCACGCAACGTGAAGGAGGTCCAACGGTTGACGGGCCGCCTGGCAGTCCTCAATCGCTTCTTATCAAAATCGGCGGAGAAGTCCTTACCCTTCTTAATTGTGCTTTGTTGTGTAGCGGGAGTTGATTTTGTTTTTTTAATAAGATTGGTAAACGTAGATTTGAAAATTGATTTTCCTATAGATGATGTTTGTGTCGGGGGAGGGGGCGCATTGCCATATTGTGTATGAAACTCATTGAATAATGCATAAAATATATCACTAACCTCGTTGTATTCTTTTTTCGGATCAATTGGGTTGTCCTCATACATTGGCAATGGACCAAAAAAAGCAGCATAATAATAATTCAAACATTCTTCTAAAGAACCAAGTCTATGCGGAATACCATAAATATGCGGAATATGTGAATAATATTTTAAAAACTTTTCCTTCATAAAATCAGCAAAATAACTCACATAATCAGCATTCTCCACCGGGTGTTTGGACTTAAGGTGTCTTGTGGCGGATCCGTATCCGCCGGAAATCCCCAAGCTATAGTTTTTCTTGCACCAATTGCAAGTTGCGGTCCAATTCCCGGTGTTCAGGTCCTTCCACTTAGAAAAATTATTAGCCATTAATTCAGATTTACTTTTTTTTGTACATGTTTGGGATGAGGCTGCTTGGTCGGCGTCATGGCTGCCGCCACCCTCCTCCTCCTCGTCGTCGTGGCTCTCCGGAATTGCTTCCTCCACATCGTCGTCCTCGTCCTCGAGCTCTTCTTCGTCAATGGTCCTCGGTTGGTCTTGAAAAAAGCGGGAATTATGTCGGTGCAATTCTTGTTCTAGTTGTTCGTCGGTCATCGCATCCCCATCCCTCCTTACGTAACCCGTATCAAAATCATCTCGACTTTGAGATGAAGAGCCGATATGTGATTTACCTTTGCGGGATCTCTTCCTCGCAAGCTCTTTCGTTCGGTTGCGCTCGAGGTTACCCATATCAACCGAATATCTAGGACGATCCATCTAAAAAATGTAGCGATTAATAAAAAAATTGTAAAAACTAATTAACTATTTATCTAACTATTAATTCGAGTTATAGCAAATTAAGTAGTGAATTAACTAGTTTTGTGTACAACATATTTTTTAAACTAGAGTCAAATGTAGCAATTAATAAAAAATTGTAAAAAACTAATTAACTATTTATCTAATTATTAATTCGAGTTATAGCAAATTAAGTAGTGAATTAACTAGTTTTGTGCACAACATATTTTTTAAACTAGAGTCAAATGTAGCAATTAATAAAAAATTGTAAAAAACTAATTAACTATTTATCTAACTATTAAACGAGAGTCAAATGTAGCAAATTAACTAGTAATTAAACAAGTGTAAATAATAGAATAATTTCGTACCTCTTTCGGACTTTCGGTCTTTCGGATGGGAGTAATAGAATGACTTCAAATTAATTAGATATAATTCCAACTATATTAATAGATATAATAAATATATAAGTAATATATAATTAGATAACAAATATAAGTAATATAATACTATTTATAGTTTATATAAATAGATAATTAATATAAACTATAAATAATAAATATAATATATTGGAGAATGGAGAATAAGAGAATTAGAGAGTAGAGAGTTAAGAATAGGATTTAGGAAGAATTGGAGAAGAGATATGAAAAAATGTTTAAGATTAGGAGTATTTATAGGTTTTTTTACCCCCCATCCCCACCACCACCCCCCCCCCACCAGCCAACCCCCCCGGACCCCCCCTTTACCCCACCCAACGGCTATATAGCCGTTTGGGTTGTCCCCAGCCCCACCCCCAACGGCTAGTAGCCCAAGAGCCCAAACAATTTTTTTTTTTAAATAAGACCAGACCCGGGCCGGGTCACATTAATCCAGCACCGAGCCCGCCCCGCCCATTCCCACCGGTTCGGGTCCATACCCGGTCCCGGACCGCCCGACCGGGCCGGTCCCGGGCCCGCACAGTACCGGGCCGGGCCGGGTCACGGGCCGGGTGGCCCGAACCGAATCCACCCCTAGTCAGGGGGCATTCGAGGAGCTGAAACGGTACTTATCTTCACCCCCTGTGCTCTCTATTTCCAAGGTAGGGGAGATCATGTACCTCTACTTGGGTGTTAGCCCGGCTGCCATCAGCTCAGTACTCATCCGGGAAGAGGATGGCATCCAACATGCCATCTTCTATGTTAGCAAGACCCTCAGGGAAGCGGAGCTCCGGTACTCCCCCGTGGAAAAAACGGTGTTGGCTATCGTGTGGACCGTCAAGAAGTTGGGCCATTACTTCCAGGCTCACCCGGTCCAGGTCCTCACTCACCAACCCCTCTGCGCCTTGATGAGGAGCCCCACTAGCTCCTCCCGAATGGTAAAATGGGCTGTCTTCTTGAGCCAATACAACATCGACGTCCGTCCTAGGCCCGCCATCAAGGGCCAAGCCCTAGTGGACTTCGTGACGGAGTGCACGGCAAGGGCGGCCACGGACGAGGAGCCCTCGGCCCCATCGGATGATTGGTGGACCCTCTACACCGACGGCTCCTCCGCCGTCAAAGCATGTGGAGGAGGGGTGGTTCTCATCTCACCCGAGGGCTTCCGGGCCTATTATGCAGTCCGTTTCTCCTTCAAAGTCTCCAACAATGAAGCCGAATACGAGGCCCTCCTCTGTGGCCTTCGGCTGGCAGCTAACATGAAGGCCCGACAAATCCACGTCAAATGCGACTCCAAGTTAGTCGTCGGCCAAATCTCCGGGGAGTACGAAGCCAAGGAAGGGAGATTGAGGCAATACAAGGAGGCGGCCAAGGAGTTGCTTAAGGTATTTGAAGCACACTCTCTTACTCAAATACCGAGGGCTTAAAACTCTGAGGCCGACATTTTATCAAAGCTCTCAGCAGAATCCCCTGAGCATATCTCGAAGATTGCCAAAGTGGAAGAACTCGGCCTCTCTAGCATACATGCTAGCCCCGTCATGAATATACAACAAAGACAAGGTGACTGGATCTCAGACATTGTCGCCTTCATCACCACAGGGCAACTGCCCGAGGATGAGGCTCGCGCCAATCTGGCAAAGCTGAGGGCTCCCAGCTACACCATCGAGGACGGAAGGCTCTACAAAAGGTCCTACAACGGGACATTACTTCGATGCCTTCATCAAGATGAAGCCGAAGTAGCAATGGAGGAGGTGCACAGTGGCACTTGCTCAGCTCATCAGGGACCCTTCTCCATGTCCCGAAGGCTAATAATCCAGGGCTACTTCTGGCCTACGATGGCCCGGGATTGTGCAGACCTTGCCCGAAGGTGCTATGCATGCCAACACTTCCAGAAAGCCCCCGGCAGGCCAGCGGTCAACTATGCCCCCATCAGCACATCCATACCCTTCGCTCGATGGGGCATAGACCTCGTGGGCCCCCTGCCGAGGGGCACCTCCAACAACAGGTACATCATTGTTGTCATCGATTACTTCACCAAATGGGTGGAAGCAGAGCCCCTCGCCAGCATCACTGAGGCCAGGTGCCGTCATTTTGTTCTCAAAAACATCCTCACCAGGTTTGGCGTCCCTCAGCAAATCATCTCCGACAACGGGACTCAGTTCGATGCAGCCCCCTTCTGTGCCCTCCTAGAGGCATGGGCATCAAACACACCTTCTCGTCCGTTGCCTACCCTCAGGGAAACGGTCAAGTGGAGAACGCCAACAGGACCCTGCTCGAGGGCCTAAAGAAGAAGCTGGAGGCCGAAGGGGGCGGTTGGGTAGAAGAGTTCCACAACATCTTATGGGCGTACCGTACCACCCCTCGGCGGGCAACTGACGAGACACCCTTCTCCCTTTGTTACGGATTTGAAGCTAAGGCCCCCACTGAGGTAACTCTTCCAACCCGAAGGGTCACACAGTATGATCCAGAGGCCAACGACTCCAATATGGCCCTCGACCTACACCTTATTTCAGAACGCCGAGAGCAAGCCTTCATACATGCAGAAAACTACCGAAGGCAGGTGAAGAGTTACATTGACGCTAAGGTCCGCTCCCGGGAGTTCCAAGTGGGGGACTATGTCCTTCGAAGAAGGAAAGCTAGTCAACCAACCGAGGGCGAAAAGATGGCACCAAAGTTCGTGGGCCCCTACATCGTGGCAGCCATCATCAAACCAGGAACTTACAAGCTAAAACGACCTAACGGGACTGAAGTCCCTAGGCACTGGAATGTACATCACTTAGTTAAATTTTATCAATAACATCAGAGCGGCCAAGCCCTCATAACTAGTGAATGTATTATTTTACGGCCCAAGGCCTAAAAATTCTGAGGAATGAAGACATTACGAAGAAATCGAGAACATGGAACAAGATTATTACAAGGGCCAAGCCCTCATATCACCCCCAGGCCCAAGGCCTTACCACAATGGAAGAACCCTCGGCACCAAGTGCCGAGGGTAGACAATACTATCACCTACAACAAGTACCACCTGTCCTCAAAAGGAGACCCCTCGGCACCTGGTGCCGGGGGGACACACCACTATCAACTTTCAACAGATGGGAAGAAACACCAAGTGTTTCCACAAAAGACCCCTCGGTACCAAGTACCGAGGGTAGACACTACAATCCCCTACGACAAGTGAAGGAAAAACACCAAGTGTTTTCACAAAAGACCCCTCGGCACCAAGTGCTGGGGGCCGTACATCGGAACAAACACCAAGTGTTGTTTCTAAGTCGTACCCCTCGAGGACGCCTATACCGGAGGTGCCACCTCTCGGTGCGGGCAGCACGTAGTGCACCCGGCCATTTGCAACCAGTGTGCAAATGAAAACCCTTCCCTGAAACGCTTTCCGCGTCATCACCCCAAGGGTATGACAGGCACGAGAAACGCCCAGGATTCGACTTTCAAAAACGGAACGCTTTCCGCGTCATCACCCCAAGGGTATGACAGGCACGAGAAATGCCCAGGATTCGACTTCCAAACCGAAACGCTCCCCGCGCCACCACCCCGTCAGTGAGGAACGGGTTTGTCCCCTTTAGGGATTCCCCAACCCATATGTGTATATATATATATATATATATATGTGTGTGTGTGTGTGTGTGTGTGTGGGCTTATCTTTGTTTCGCCATCTGCTCGTCTTACCCGCCCTTGGGACCGGTCCTTTGAATCCTGAACTGAGCTAAGCCGCGATTGTGATGGGAAATGAGTTTATCCCCTTTGGGGATTCCCCATTTCTTCGTTTCGTTATCCGCTCATCTTAATCGCCCTTTAGCCCGTTCCTTTGGATCCTGAGCTGAGTTAGGCCGCGATTGTGATGGGAAACGGTTTTATCCTTTTGAGGATTCCCCGGTGTCCCTCTATTTTTTTAGGGGTCTTATCTTTGTTTCGCCATCCGCTCGTCTTACCTGCCCTTGGGCCCGGTCCTTTGGATCCTGAGCGGAGCTAAGCCGCGATTGTGATGGGAAAAGGGTTTATCCCCTTTGGGGATTCCCCATTTCTTCGTTTCGTCATCCGCTCGTCTTCTTCGCCATTTAGCCCTATCCTTTGGATCCTGAGCTGAGCTAGGCCGCGATTGTAATAGGAAACAGGTTTATCCTTTGAGGATTCCCCGGTGCCCCTCTATATTTTTTTGAGGGGTCTTTGAATATGATGATGGCACCGTACCAGGGGGTCGGTGGCTATATAAAGGTGTCGGCGTTGGGGCCGATCTCTAAGAATCAATCAACGGTCCTCATCTGCGAGGAGCAGGGACGAGGCCGGTCTTCAAGTATGATGATGGCACCGTACCTGGGGGGTCGGTGGCCATATAATGATGTCGGCACTAGGGGCCGATCTGAAAGAATTAATCAACGGTCCTCATCCGCAAGGATCGGGGATGAGGCCGGTCTTCAAATATAATGATGGCACCATACCAGGGGGTCGGTGGCCATATGATGATGTCGACACTGGGGCCCGATCTGAAAGAATCAATCAACGGTCCTCATCCGCGAGAAGCGGGGACGAGGCCGGTCTTCAAATATGATGATGGCACCGTACCAGGGGGTCGGTGGCCACGAAATGATGTCGGCACAGGGGGGCGATCTGAAAGAATCAATCAATGGTCCTCATCGCGCGAGGAGCGGGGACGAGGCCGGTCTTCAAATATGATGATGGCACTGTACTAGGGGGTCAGTAGCCATATGATGATATCGACACTGGGGGCCGGTCTGAAAGAATCAATCAACGGTCCTCATGCGCGAGGAGCGGGGATGAGGCCGGTCTTGAAATATGATGATGGCACCATACCAGGGGGTCGGTGGCCATATGATGATGTCGGCACTTGGGGCCGATCTGAAAGAATCAATCAACGGTCCTCATCTGCGAGGAGCGGGGACGATGCCGGTTTTCAAATATGATGATGGCACCGTACCATGGGGTCGGTGGCCACGAAATGATGTCGACATTGGGGGCTGATCTGAAAGAATCAATCAACAGTCCTCATCCGCGAGGAGCGGGGACGAGGCCGGTCTTCAAATATGATGATGGAACCGTACCAGGGGGGTCGGTGGCCATGAAATGATGTCGGCACTAAGGCCGATTTCTGAGAGAATCCATCAACGGTCCTCATCCGTGAGGAGCGAGGACAAGGCCGGTCTTCAAACATGCTCGTCCCACGGCCCTCGGCCGTGATAGTCTTCTTGAGGTCCTCGGCCTCCTGGTGGATATACTCGTCTCACAGCCCTCGACTGTGATAGACTCTTTGGGACCCTCGGTCTCCTCTAGCCATGAACGCCCCGACCATGAACATTCCCTCCATTGAAATTTCACCAATTTTTAACTTGTAAGCTGTTGAGTCTGTTCTGCATAACTGTTTCCAAGTAGTAGAATCTTTAGGTTTGCATGAAATTTCAAAGAATTCCCTTCTTTGAAATACCACTGCAAGAGATCTTATATATTCAAACCCCCTCCCCTCCTGGATAAACACAGTTTCTCCCATTTTATCCAGTGGTATTTATTTTTGTTCTCCCTAAATTTGCCATAACCATGTGTACTTGTGTAGAATTTGAATTATCTTTCTTGGAATGTTTGACACTGCTAGAAGATGGGTATGGCCGAAAGAACGTGTTTGATCAGAATAATAAGCCTTTCCACTCTGCTGAGGTTCCCCTCAAATTGCCGGGTTCTTCCCCCAGTCTGACAGATAAATTTCTTCTCTTCAGGTCCATATATAATAAACCGATGCTCTGTTTTCTATGTAATAAACCGGTCCAGTTTTCTTTGATTACTATCTGAAAAGTGAAAATGTGCAGTAGCTGCTGCAAGTCCAGGAAACAGAGCATGTTGAGTGATATTTTTGTGGGTTAGGAATTGCAGGTCTGGAGGTTAGTAATTTATAATGTCCATTGATTAGTTTGTACTAGCTGAAGAATTCAATGATATATAGGTCCTCAAATTCTAAGTTTTCATCTTTTCTTGACCTCAACTTATTTCTTCCACAAAAAGTAGAACTCCTTGATCACATGGGTCAATTGTCCTTGATCCATTCTGGGCCAGTACATCATGATTCTTTCATTCTGTACATAATACTTCTTATTACATAGCGACACTGGAAGCGTACCAGTTTGTTTCTCCATTTCTCTATTAACCTTGCTTTTTGTCCAAATTGACAGATCAGCCCGTTGCTTTGGAGTATGTTGTTTCTTCAGGGTGTATGAGGGAGGCTGCTGATCCATTGAGGAATGAATAGGATCAAGTCATCCTCCGCGTGGTTTTAGGATGTTGTTAGATCACCTCCTCCCTATTTGATATGGTGTTATTTTGCTGGTTTGTATCATCAGTTTATGTAAAATCATTCTGAAATAATGAGGAACAGGTATGAAAAAAGGGGGTCACCGGTCACCCTGTTTGACCCCCCTCTGTGGCTTGAAGAAGCCGGGTCACCCTGTTTTACTACTTGATCAGTATGAAAAAAGGGGGTCACCCTGTTTTACTACTTGACCAGTGTGAAAAAGGGGGGTCACCCTGTTTTACTACTTGACCAGTATGAAAAAAGAGGGTCACCATGTTTGACCCCCTTTGTGGCTTGAAGAAGCCATGAGGTCTGCCGTCTCAAGAAAGGTCCAAGAGACCCTGATCAAAAGCCTTGATTAAGTCCAGTTTGACCTGTGATCAATGGGGAGGATTGGGTTTTGGGAGATTATTTTAGTCTATTGCGATCAATGGGGATTGGGTAGGAAATATGTCCACCTGGATGTCAACAACTTCTAAAAAATGGGCCCTCCAACTAAAAAAATGGGCCCTCCAAATCAGTGCAGTAGTGTTTTTTTGTGTCAAACAAATCAGAGTAGACCTGCTAACGTTTTAGCCAATGTTTTTGAGAATATTCCCAAATAATTCTTTCTTCCATTTTTCAAAACCATTTTAAAATCAGACAACAATGAGCAAAATCACTTTGAATTTCAACGGTGCTAGATTGCAGTAGTCTTGGTTGATTTCAAAACATTGTTTAGATCGGTCAGTTATGTAAGGTTTCGTCGGGGGTTAGTGTCGGTTTTTTGGTTCCGTTTTTGGTTCGGAGTTAGGTTCGGTGTTAGGTTCGGTGTTAGGTTCGGTGTTAGGTTCGGTGTTAGGTTCGGTGTTAGGTTCGGAGTTAGGTTCGGAGTTAGGTTCGGAGTTAGGTTCGGAGTTAGGTTCGGAGTTAGGTTCGGAGTTAGGTTCGGAGTGAGGTTCGGAGTTAGGTTCGGAGTTAGGTTCGGAGTGAGGTTCGGAGTTAGGTTCGGAGTGAGGTTCGGAGTGAGGTTCAGAGTGAGGTTCGGAGTGAGGTTCGGAGTGAGGTTCGGAGTGAGGTTCGGAGTGAGATTCGGAGTTAGGTTCGGAGTTAGGTTCGGAGTTAGGTTCAGAGTTAGGTTCGGTTGTAGGTTCGGTTGTAGGTTCGGTTGTAGGTTCGGTTGTAGGTTCGAGGTTCGGTTTTAAGTTTGAGGTTCGGTTTTAGGTTTTAGGTTTTGGTCTTAGGTTCGGTTTTAGGTTTGGCGAAAGATTTTTGAGTCTTAAAGAAGAATTTTTAGCTTTACAATTTCTTCGGATCAGCTTGAGATGATGAAACCAAAATTTGAATAAGAGCTCGGATTAAGGAGGGAGTGGTACACATAGATGACCTCCAAACGTAGCTCGGAAACTTCCCCAAGCCAAAGGATTTCGCACAAATCTACGTTTTTGCAAAAGTGAGATTCTGTTTTGGTTTGGTTTTAGGTTCAGATTGACTCATGTTCGGTTTGGAGTCAGGTTTGGTTTAAGGTTCGTTTTGAGGTTCGGTTTTAGCACAAACCTACGTTTTTGCAAAAGTGAGATTCTGTTTTGGTTTGGTTCGTTTTGAGGTTCGGATGGACTCAGGTTCGGTTCAGAGTCAGGTTTGGTTTAAGGTTCGTAAGTTCTGTTTTAGGTTTCAGTTTTTGGTTCGGTCAGAGCTAGTTTCGTTTTTTTGTTTAGATTGGGGTTAAGTTCTTTTGTTGTTTAGGTTTGACTTTGGGTTTGGTTTTTGGTTGTGGTTTGGGAGTCTGGTTTGGTTCAGAGTCTGGTTCGGAGTCAGGTTCGGAGTTAGGTTTGGTTAAGTCTGGGTCATAGATTCGGTTGTAGTAGGTCCGGAGTTAGGTTTGGAGTCAGAAAGGTTCGTTTGGGGTTTTAGGTTCTGTGTAAGGTTCAGAGTTAGGTTATTTTTTGTTTTTAGGTTCCAGGTCAACCCAGCCTTCCATCTCATCACCTATTATTACTACCTCGTCCCTTATCAGTGGCATGATTATTAAGAACCACACAAACTTTACCCAATATGGTATGTGACAATTTTAGTGAGATCCTGAAAAGTTAAAACTAGGTATGGACCCGGGCCGGTCCCGGGTGGGTTTTTTTTGTTGAATGATGGGCCCAGAACCGGCCCTTGGTGATACCGGGTCCGGTCCGGGTCGGGCCTACCCGGCCGGGTTGTGGGCCTCGCTCAATCCTATTATTATACCGTGCTAGAGCCTCGCTCTTAGTCAATCTATGTCGTGCTAGAGCCCCACTCTTAGTCGTCGTTCTACGTTAGGCTACAGCCTCCCTCTTAGTCAGTCTACATTTATGGTGGAGCCTCGCTCTTAGTCATCTACATTAGGCTAGAGCTCCTCTCTTAGTCGATCTACATTTATGCTAGAGTCTCGCTCTTAGTCATCTACATTTGTGCTAGAGTCTCGCTCTTAGTCATCTACATTAGGCTAGAGCCCCGCTCTTAGCCAATCTATTCGATTCCTAAGCCAATGCTGTGCCTAGAATCAATTTACCTTGAGTAGCCTTTAAGGCCGTGATAGACTCCTTGGGACCCTCGGTCTCCTCTAGCCATGAACGCCCCGACCATGAACATCTCTGCGCTTTATGCTGAACGTCGTTGACCTCTCCGCTCAAGTCTATCGAACGACTTTGAATGATTCTGTCAACGTTGTCGGTCATGAACGTCTCTGCGCTTCATGCCGTCATTGATCTCCCCGCTCGAGTTTATCGAACGGCTTTGCCTGATTGTGATTTCTTCTTTTCTTCTTCATACCTGGAGAGGGGGTCCCTTCGGCCCATCAAGACCCCTCTTGCCGGCTTCACCGACGACACCATTGATTCCGAGGGGATCATAACCCTCCTGGTCATCTTCGGCGACGGCCTCCATAGAGCCAAGCTCGAAGTGGAGTTCATCGTCGTCAACATCGACTGCGCCCACAACATCGTCCGCTCGCAGAGGACAAAAGCCGCTCGGCTTTTGCAAAAGCTGCCCGGCTTTCGGGCCCTGCAGCACAAAAACAACTCCTAGCAATGGCGGTTTCCGACGATTTCGATTCCTATCGATTCCACAACTCTTCTAAGTTAAATACCAACACTTTATATCATTTTTCTACACCTTTAAAATGTGTAGACATCCCCAAGGATCCGTCATATGATTTCTATAAAATCATACACGAAAATATATATATATATATATATATATATGAATAAGGATCAAATGAGAAGAGTGCTTATCGTAAGAAGTGAGAATGCATCTGGTGCGTTCATTTTCAGATCTGTGCATCAGATTAGCAAAAAAGTGCACGAGAAAGTGCAAAAAATATTAAAAAAAGTGATGCTAGACGCGGTGGCATATCCGTAATTAATCGGAACTTTTCTGCCATCGCAAAAGGTGCATCAGATTAGCGAAAAAGTGCATCAGAAAGAAGCAAATGTGAAGCTTCTCACTTCTCACGTTAAGATGTCTTCTTATTAGAACCCAACCCATATATATATATATATATATATATATATATATATATATATATATATATATATATATGTATATATATATATAACGGAAGAACAAGAACCGGAGCTACGAGGTTCTTACCGGTAGACTTTGTTTTCTCTCGGATTGCTCCTCTTCTTGACCTTCTTCCTTCTTGGTTTTGTGAGGTGTGTATGGAGCTCTCAATACTCCCCTCTCCTTTGTGTCTTACGCAGGACCTCTCAAATGAGGGGATAAGGAGACACCCCTCCCTTATCTTCTATTTTTAGAAGGTTGGGCCAATTTAGTTGGGTTGGGTTCGCGGGTTGCTCCTTTTAATTTACTCTGACCCAAATGACTTTTATTCGTTTACTTATATTATGTTAGGCTTGTAGACCTCAATAGATCGATCCTAAAATTTATTGGATATTCCTTTTCAATGTTCCGGGCTTAAACCCCTTTACCTTTCTATTATTAGAAAGTGGCTCAAAAAGTCTCTTTATATTATTCCTTTACTTTTTATCCGGCCCAAACATTCATATATAACTTATTTCCTTATCATTGGGCTTTTAACTAATTTAACATGGTCCAAGAATATACTAGTTAGTCCCTCCCCATGTTTTTAGGGTCTGACACACAATATAATTAATCGGTATTAATTTAATCAATTAATCATTTCTCATATGATTAATATTTTTGTAACTAGTTTACAAAATGAATAAGTATTCACGAACTCAAATAGTCATCCTCATCAACATTGGTATTTGTAATTTCTATTAAATTTTAATATTAATGGATTAATTAATCCCAGTTCAAATTGGGAGCGGTGTCACACGCTGAGGGGCCAATCGTGCGACATAAGATAGTGGTCCTCATTTGCTCGTCGTACCTGCTCATTAACCCGGTCCTTTGGATCCTGAGCTGAGTTAGGCCGTCGTAGTCTGTGAGGAACGGTTTGATCCTCTTGGGACTCTTTTGTTTGATCCTCTTGGGATTCTTTAGTTTGATCCTCTTGGGATTCCTTTGTTTGATCCTCTTGGGATTCTTTTGTTTGATCTTCTTGGGATTCTTTTGTTTGATCCTCTTGGGATTCTTTTGTTTGATCCTCTTGGGATTCTTTTGTTTGATTCTCTTGGGATTCTTTTGTTTGATCCTCTTGGGATTCTTTTGTTTGATCCTCTTGGGATTCTTTTGTGTTTGTTCGTCATCTGCTCGTCGTACCCGCCCTTTTTGCCTGGTCCTTTGGATCCTGAGCTGAGCTAAGTCAACGTAGTCGGTGAGGAACAGGTTTGTCCCCTTTAGGGATTCCCCAGCCCATATATATATATATATATATATATATATATATATATATATATATATATATATATATATATATATATATATATATATATATATATATGGGCTTATCTTTGTTTCGCCATCCGCTCGTCTTACCTGCCTTTGGGCCCGGTCCTTTGGATCCTGAGTGGAGCTAAGCCGCGATTGTGATGGGAAAAGGGTTTATCCCCTTTGGGGATTCCCCATTTCTTCGTTTCGTCATCCGCTCGTCTTCTTCGCCCTTTAGCCCGTTCCTTTGGATCATGGGCTGAGCTAGGCCGCGATTGTAATCGGAAACAGGTTTATCCTTTGAGGATTCCCCGGTGCCCCTCTATATTTTTTTGAGGGGTCTTTGAATATGATGATGGCACCGTACTTGGGGGTCGGTGGCTATATAAAGGTGTCGGCGTTGGGGCCGATCTCTAAGAATCAATCAACGGTCCTCATCTGCGAGGAGCAGGGACGAGGCCGGTCTTCAAGTATGATGATGGCACTGTACCTGGGGGTCGGTGGCCATATAATGATGTCGGCACTAGGGGCCGATCTGAAAGAATTAATCAACGGTCCTCATCCGCAAGGATCGGGGATGAAGTCGGTCTTCAAATATGATGATGGCACCGTACCAGGGGGTCGGTGGCCATATGATGATGTCGACACTGGGGCCCGATCTGAAAGAATCAATCAACGGTCCTCATCCGCGAGAAGCGGGGATGAGGCCGGTCTTCAAATATGATGATGGCACCGTACCAGGGGGGTCGGTGGCCACGAAATGATGTCGGCACTGGGGGCCGATCTGAAAGAATCAATCAATGGTCCTCATCGCGCGAGGAGCGGGGACGAGGCCGGTCTTCAAATATGATGATGGCACTGTACTAGGGGGTCGGTAGCCATATGATGATATCGACACTGGGGGCCGATCTGAAAGAATCAATCAACGGTCCTCATGCGCGAGGAGCGGGGATGAGGCCGGTCTTGAAATATGATGATGGCACCATACCAGGGGGTCGGTGGCCATATGATGATGTCAGCACAGGGGGCCGATCTGAAAGAATCAATCAACGGTCCTCATCTGCGAGGAGCGGGGACGAGGCCGGTCTTCAAATATGATGATGGCACCGTACCATGGGGTCGGTGGCCACGAAATGATGTCGACATTGGGGGCCGATCTGAAAGAATCAATCAACAGTCCTCATCCGCGAGGAGCGGGGACGAGGCCGGTCTTCAAATATGATGATGGCACCGTACCAGGGGGGTCGGTGGCCATGAAATGATGTCGGCACTAAGGCCGATTTCTGAGAGAATCCATCAACGGTCCTCATCCATGAGGAGTGAGGACAAGGTCGGTCTTCAAACATGCTCGTCAAACGGCCCTCGGCCGTGATAGTCTTCTTGAGGTCCTCGGCCTCCTGGTGGATATACTCGTCGCACAGCCCTCGGCCGTGATAGACTCCTTGGGACCCTCGGTCTCCTCTAGCCATGAACGCCCCGACCATGAACATCTTTGCGCTTCATGCTGAACGTCGTTGACCCCTCCGCTCAAGTCTATCGAACGACTTTGAATGATTCTGTCAACGTTGCCGGTCATGAACGTCTCTGCGCTTCATGCCGTCATTGATCTCCCCGCTCGAATTTATCGAACGGCTTTGCCTGATTGTGATTTCTTCATTTCTCTGCCAGTCATGAATGTCTTCGCGCTTCATGCCATATAACATGGGTCTCCCAGCTCGAGTATATCGAATGGATTCCACTGCACAATAAGCATGGTAACAAGGCTATATGGCCCGACAACATATATACACATGTAAAGCAGTCATTTTTTATGTTCATTAACATCGGCATGAACAATCATAATAGTAATACGGCTGCACGGCTGAACAACCCATACGATGTACATGTATAGCCCCTTGGCCTGGATTTATTTGCCGTACTGGGTACAGTTGCCGTTCGGGCACTTGATGCCGAACGGAACCACAAATGATTTCTAAATTAAAATACGTCGTCGGGCAATGCCCTTGAGAGACGCTTCTGTCAACTGACTTGGGCTGATCGGGAGTTGTTTGATACGCCCACTCAAACCACACATTTAATTAAAATGTTGGTGGACTTGTTAATAAAGTTTTGTTCGACACTATTTTATTCGGGGTGTTCTCACCCCTAACAAATAACGGTGATGTGCAAAAATAATAGCAATAACACTATATAAAGCCATTAATATTCTAATGTAGTAGCACTTGATGCTGATCGGAGGCGGGTCGACTACTAATTTACGTCGATCAGGGACGGGCCAATAGGCCCACCTAAACCGGACATTTAACTTCAAAATGACGGTGAATATCATTGGAGTTTCCCTCGACATTATTTAACTCGGGATATTTTAATTCCTAATGAATAATAGTGATAAAAGCTGATAGCAATAATGTTATTTGAAATTAATTGCCAGTGAGGAATTGGATACTTAGCTTTTGAAATGGAGCTTTAGACTTTTCGAGATTTCCCTCAAGTTAGACTGGGTTGCCCAACAATTTCAATTTTGGTCAAAGTCCTCCACAAGATTCACAATCCCCTGGTTGCGCCACCTCAATTGCTACTGTACGTGTTCAAAACCTTTCAATTTGATCCGACCTGCTTAAAGCAAAAACCTTTCCAAACTTCTCTTCAGGTCCATATATAATAAACCGATGCTCTGTTTTCTATGTAATAAACCGGTCCAGTTTTCTTTGATTACTATCTGAAAAGTGAAAATGTGCAGTAGCTGCTGCAAGTCCAGGAAACAGAGCATGCTGAGTGATATTTTTGTGGGTTAGGAATTGCAGGTCTGGAGGTTAGTAATTTATAATGTCCATTGATTGGTTTGTACTAGCTGAAGAATTCAATGATATATAGGTCCTCTAATTCTAAGTTTTCATCTTTTCTTGACCTCAACTTGTTTCTTCCACAAAAAGTAGAACTCCTTGATCCATTCTGGACCAGTACATCATGATTCTTTCATTCTGTACATAATACTTCTTCTTACATAGCGACACTGGAAGCGTACCAGTTTGTTTCTCCATTTCTCTATTAACCTTGCTTTTTGTCCAAATTGACAGATCAGCCCGTTGCTTTGGAGTATGTCGTTTCTTCAGGGTGTATGAGGGAGGCTGCTGATCCATTGAGGAATGAATAGGATCAAGTCATCCTCCGTGTGGTTTTAGGATGTTGTTAGATCACCCCCTCCCTATTTGATATGGTGTTATTTTGCGGGTTTGTATCATCAGTTTATGTAAAAACATTCTGAAATAATGAGGAACAGGTATGAAAAAAGGGGGTCACCGGTCACCCTGTTTGACCCCCCTCTGTGGCTCAAGAAGCCTTGGGGTCTGCCGTCTCAAGAAAGGTCCAAGAGACCCTGGAAAAAGCCTGGATTAAATCCAGTTTTACCTGCCCTCCCACCTTTTGATTAATGTGGGCCAGTAGGATGTTTTACTACTTGATCAGTATGAAAAAAGGGGGTCACCCTGTTTGACCCCCCTCTGTGGCTTGAAGAAGCCATGGGGTCTGCCGTCTAAAGAAAGGTCCAAAAGCCTTGATCAAGTCCAGTTTGACCTGCGATCTTTGGGGAGGATTTGGTTTTGGGAGATTATTTTAGTCTTTATTGCGATCAATGGGGATTGGGTAGGAAATATGGATGTCAACAACTTCTAAAAAATGGGCCCTCCAACTGAAAAAATGTGCCCTCCAAATCAGTGCAGTAGTGTTGTTTTGCGTCAAACAAATCAGAGTAGACCTGCTAACGTTTTAGCCAATGTTTTTGAGAATATTTCCAAATAATTCTTTCTTCCATTTTTCTAAACCACTTTAAAATCAGACAACAATGAGCAAAATCACTTTGAATTTCAACGGTGCTAGATTGCAGTAGTCTTGGTTAATTTCAAAACATTGTTTAGTTCGGTGAGTTATGTAAGGTTTCGTCGGGGGTTAGTGTCTGTTTTTTGGTTCCGTTTTTGTTCGGTGTTATGTTCGGTGTTATGTTCGGTGTTAGGTTCGGTGTTAGGTTCGGTGTTAGGTTCTGTGTTGGGTTCGGAGTTGGGTTCGGAGTTGGGTTCGGAGTTGGGTTCGGAGTTGGGTTCGGAGCGAGGTTCGGAGCGAGGTTCGGAGCGAGGTTCGGAGAGAGGTTCGGAGCGAGGTTCGGAGCGAGGTTCGGAGCGAGGTTCGGAGCGAGGTTCGGAGCGAGGTTCGGAGCGAGGTTCGGAGCGTGGTTCGGAGCGAGGTTCGAGGTCGAGGTTCGAAGTCGAGGTTCGAAGTCGAGGTTCGAGGTTCAGAGCGAGGTTCGAGGTCGAGGTTCGAGGATCGGTTTTAGGTTCGAGGTTCGGTTTTAGGTTCGGTTTTAGGTTCGGTTTTAGGTTCGGTTTTAGGTTTGGCGAAAGATTTTTGAGCTTTAAAGAAGAATTTTTAGCTTTACAATTTCTTCGGATCAGCTTGAGATGATGAAATCAAAATTTGAATAAGAGCTCAGATTAAGGAGGGAATGGTACACATAGATGACCTCCAAACGTAGCTCGGAAACTTCCCCAAGCCAAAGGATTTCGCACAAATCTACGTTTTTGCAAAAGTGAGATTCTGTTTTGGTTTGGTTTGAGGTTCGGATTGACTCATGTTCAGTTTGGAGTCAGGTCTGGTCTAAGGTTCGTTTTGAGGTTCGGTGTTGGCACAAATCTACGTTTTTGCAAAAGTGAGATTCTGTTTTGGTTTGGTTTGTTTTGTGGTATGAATGGACTCAGGTTTGGTTCGGAGTCAGGTTTGGTTTAATGTTCGTAAATTCTGTTTTAGGTTTCAGTTTTTGGTTCTCTTTTGTTGTTTAGGTTTGACTCTTTGTTTGGTTTTTGGTTGTGGTATGGGAGTTTGGTTAGGTTCGGAGTTAGGTTCGGAGTTAGGTTTGGTTAAGTCTGCGTCATAGATTCGGTTGTAGTAGGTCCGGAGTTAGGTTTGGAGTCAGAAAGGTTCGTTTGGGGTTTTAGGTTCTGTGTAAGGTTCAGAGTTAGGTTATTTTTTGTTTTTAGGTTCGTTTGGGGTTTTAGGTTCTGTGTAAGGTTCAGAGGTTATTTTAAAACTAGGTATGGACCCGGGCCGGTCCCGGGTGGGCTTTTTTTGTTGAACGATGGGTCTGGAACTGGCCCAGGGCGATATCGGGTCCAGTCCGGGTTGGTCCTACCTGGCCGGGTTGTGGGCTGCTTCGGGCCGGACCAGGCTTGGGCTAGTTTTTTTTTTTTTAATTCAGATTAGTTGGGCAAAAAAATTTAAACTGTAATAATTTGAAATATGAAACAATTGGAAATTTTGAATTGGAGATTTTGAATTAACTAACAATAATTTACTAGTTTTTATAGTAGATTAATAAATGCAACAATTAACTAGTTTATTAAATTTATTCGATGCCACATATTTAATTTTATTGCATGTAGCGTGCATATATTTTTATACACCAAGTACAATACAAAATATTTTGATATTACTTTTATTTGAGTTAGGGGAAAATAATTAAAATACCCCAAACTTTGAAGAGGTGTGAGATAAACACCCCAAACTTGCATACGTAATTTAAATACCTCAAACTTTATATAAAAAATTAATGTAGCACCATGATCAAGTATTATTTCTTTCAAAATTAATCATTTTTTGTGTTTATAATATTTTGGAGTTAGGTTCGGTGTTAGGTTCGGAGTCAGGTTCGGAACGAGGTTCTGAGCGAGGTTCGGTTGTAGGTTTGGTTGTAGGTTCGAGGTTAGGTTTTAGGTTCGAGGTTCGGTTTTAGGTTCGAGGTTTGGTTTTAGGGTTAAGGTTTTGGTCTTAGGTTCGGTTTTAGGTTTGGTGAAAGATTTTTGAGTCTTAAAGAAGAATTTTTAGCTTTACAATTTCTTCGGATAAGCTTGAGATGATGAAACCAAAATTTGAATAAGAGCTCGGATTAAGGAGGGAGTGGTACACATAGATGACTCCAAACGTAGCTTGGAAACTTCCCCAAGCCAAAAGATTTCGCACAAATCTACGTTTGTGCAAAAGTGAGATCCTGTTTTGGTTTGGTTTTAGGTTCGGATTGACTCATGTTCGGTTTGGAGTCAGGTTTGGTTTAAGGTTCGTTTTGAGGTTCGGTTTTAGCACAAATCTACGTTTTTGCAAAAGTGAGATTCTGTTTTGGTTTGGTTCGTTTTGAGGTTCGGATGGACTCGGGTTGTGTTCGGGGTCAGGTTTGGTTTAAGGTTCGTAAGTTCTGTTTTAGGTTTCAGTTTTTAATTCGGGCAGAGCTAGTTTCGTTTTTCTTTGTTTAGATTTGGGTTAAGTTCTTTTGTTGTTTAGGTTTGACTTTTGGTTTGGTTTTTGGTTGTGGTTTGGGGGTCTGGTTTGGTTCGGAGTCAGGTTCGGAGTTATGTTTGGTTAAGTCTGGGTCATATATTAGGTTATAGTAGGTCCGGAGTTAGGTTTGGAGTCAGAAAGGTTCGTTTGGGGTTTTAGGTTCTGTGTAAGGTTCAGAGATAGGTTATTTTTTGTTTTTAGGTTCCAGGCCAACCCAGCCTTCCATCTCATCACCTATTATTTTTACCTCGTCCCTTATCAGTGGCATGATTATTAAGAACCACACAAAATTTACCCAATATGGTATGGGATAATTTTAGTGAGATCCTGAAAAGTTAAACCTAGGTATGGACCCGGGCCGGTCCCGGGTTGGCTTTTTTTGTTGAATGATGGGTCCGGAACCGGCCCAATGGTGATATCGGGTCCGGTCGGGGTCTGGCCTACCCGGCCGGGTTGTCGGCTGCTTCGGGCCGGACCAGGCCTCGGCTAGTTTTTTTTTTGAATTCAGATTAGTTGGGCATAAAAATTTAAACTGTATTAATTTGAAATATTTAACAATTGAAAATTTTGAATAGGAGATTTCGAATTAACTAACAATAATTAACTAGTTTTTACAGTAGATTAATAAATGCAACAAATAACTAGTTTAATAAATTTTTTCGATGCCAGATATTTAATTTTATTGCATGTAGCGTGCATATATTTTTTATACACCAAGTATAATACAAAATATTTTGATATTACTTTTATTTGAGTTAGGGTAAAATAATTAAAATACCCAAACTTTGAAGAGGTGTGAGATAAACACCCCAAACTTGCATACGTAATTTAAATACCCCAAACTTTATATAAAAAATTAGTGTAGCACCATGATAAAAAATTATTTCTTTCAAAATTAATAATTCTTTGTGTTTATAATATTTCGGAGTTATGTTCGGAATTAGGTTCGGAGTTAGGTTCGGAGCGAGGTTCGGAACGAGGTTCGGTTGTAGGTTCGAGGTTCGGTTTTAGGGTTTAGGTTTTGGTCTTAGGTTCGGTTTTAGGTTTGGTGAAAGATTTTTGAGTCTTAAAGAAGAATTTTTAGCTTTACAATTTCTTCGAATCAGCTTGAGATGATGAAACCAAAATTTGAATAAGAGCACGGATTGAGGGCGTGGTACACATAGATGACTCCAAACGTAGCTCGGAAACTTCCCCAAGCCAAAGGATTTCGCACAAATCTACGTTTTTGCAAAAGTGAGATCTTGGTTTGGTTTTAGGTTCGGATTGACTCATGTTCGGTTTGGAGTCAGGTTTGGTTTAAGGTTCGTTTTGAGGTTCGGTTTTAGCACAAATCTACGTTTTTTCAAAAGTGAGATTCTGTTTTGGTTTGGTTCGTTTTGAGGTTCAGATGGACTCGGGTTCGGTTTGGAGTCAGGTTTGGTTTAAGATTCGTAAGTTCTGTTTTAGGTTTCAGTTTTTGGTTCGGTCAGAGCTAGTTTCGTTTTTTTGTTTAGATTGGGGTTAAGTTCTTTTGTTCTTTAGGTTTGACTTTGGGTTTGGTTTTTGGTTGTGGTTTGGGAGTCTGGTTTGGTTCGGAGTCTGGTTCGGAGTTAGGTTCGGAGTTAGGTTTGGTTAAGTCTGGGTCATAGATTCGGTTGTAGTAGGTTCGGAGTTAGGTTTGGAGTCAGAAAGGTTCGTTTGGGGTTTTAGGTTCTGTGTAAGGTTCAGAGTTAGGTTATTTTTTGTTTTTAGGTTCCAGGCCAACCCAGCCTTCTATCTCATCACCTATTATTACTACCTCGTCCCTTATCAGTGGCATGATTATTAAGAACCACACAAACTTTACCCAATATGGTATTAAAACTAGGTATGGACCCGGGCCGGTCCCGGGCAGACTTTTTTGTTGAATGATGGGCCCGGAACCGGCCCAGGGTGATATCGGGTTCGGTCCGGGTCAGGCCTACCCGGCCGGGTTGTGGGCCTCGCTCAAGCCTATTATTATACCGTGCTAGAGCCTCGCTCTTAGTTAATCTATGTCGTGCTAGAGCCCCACTCTTAGTCGTCGTTCTACGTTCGGTTTTAGGTTTGGCGAAAGATTTTTGAGTCTTAAAGAAGAATTTTTAGCTTTACAATTTCTTCGGATCAGCTTGAGATGATGAAATCAAAATTTGAATAAGAGCTCGGATTAAGGAGGGAGTGGTACACATAGATGACCTCCAAACGTAGCTCGGAAACTTCCCCGAGCCAAAGGATTTCGCACAAATCTACGTTTTTGCAAAAGTGAGATTCTGTTTTGGTTTGGTTTTAGGTTCGGATTGACTCATGTTCAGTTTGGAGTCAGGTCTGGTCTAAGGTTCGTTTTGAGGTTCGGTGTTAGCACAAATCTACGTTTTTGCAAAAGTGAGATTCTGTTTTGGTTTGGTTTGTTTTGTGGTATGGATGGACTCAGGTTTGGTTCGGAGTGAGGTTTGGTTTAATGTTCGTAAGTTCTGTTTTAGGTTTCAGTTTTTGGTTCTCTTTTGTTGTTTAGGTTTGACTTTTTGTTTGGTTTTTGGTTGTGGTTTGGGAGTTTGGTTAGGTTCGGAGTCAGGTTCGGAGTTGGGTTTGGTTAAGTCTGGGTCATAGATTCGGTTGTAGTAGGTCCGGAGTTAGGTTTGGAGTCAGAAAGGTTCGTTTGGGATTTTAGGTTCTGTGTAAGGTTCAGAGTTAGGTTATTTTTTGTTTTTAGGTTCGTTTGGGGTTTTAGATTCTGTGTAAGGTTCAGAGGTTATTTTTTGTTTTTAGGTTCCAGGCCAACCCAGCCTTCCATCTCATCACCTATTATTACTACCTCGTCCCTTATCAGTGGCATGATTATTAAGAACCACGCAAACTTTGCCCAATATGGTATGGGACAATTTTAGTAAGATCCTGAAAAGTTAAAACTAGGTATGGACCCGGGCCGGTCCCGGGTGGGCTTTTTTTGTTGAATGATGGGTCTGGAACTGGCCCAGGGCGATATCGGGTCCGGTCCGTGTTGGTCCTACCCGGCCGGGTTGTGGGCTGCTTCGGGCCGGACCAGGCCTGAGCTAGTTTTTTTTTTTTAATTTCAGATTAGTTGGGCATAAAAATTTAAACTGTAATAATTTGAAATATGAAACAATTGGAAATTTTGAATTGCAGATTTTGAATTAACTAACTATAATTTACTAGTTTTTATAGTAGATTAATAAATGCAACAATTAACTAGTTTAAAAAATTTATTCGATGCCACATATTTAATTTTATTGCATGTAGCGTGCATATATTTTTATACACCAAGTACAATACAAAATATTTTGATATTACTTTTATTTGAGTTAGGGGAAAATAATTAAAATACCCCAAACTTTGAAGAGGTGTGAGATAAACACCCCAAACTTGCATACGTAATTTAAATACCTCAAACTTTATATAAAAAATTAATGTAGCACCATGATCAAGTATTATTTCTTTCAAAATTAATAATTTTTTGTGTTTATAATATTTCGGAGTTAGGTTCGGTGTTAGGTTCGGAGTCAGGTTCGGAACGAGGTTCAGAACGAGGTTCTGAGCGAGGTTCGGTTGTAGGTTTGGTTGCAGGTTCGAGGTTCGAGGTTCGGTTTTAGGTTCGAGGTTCGGTTTTAAGTTCGAGGTTCGATTTTAGGTTCGAGGTTTGGTTTTAGGTTTAGGTTTTGGTCTTAGGTTCGGTTTTAGGTTTGGTGAAAGATTTTTGAGTCTTAAACAAGAATTTTTAGCTTTACAATTTCTTCGGATAAGCTTGAGATGATGAAACCAAAATTTGAATAAGAGCTCGGATTAAGGAGGGAGTGGTACACATAGATGACTCCAAACGTAGCTCGGAAACTTCCCCAAGCCAAAGGATTTCGCACAAATCTACGTTTTTACAAAAGTGAGATTCTGTTTTGGTTTGGTTTTAGGTTCGGATTGACTCATGTTCAGTTTGGAGTCAGGTCTAGTCTAAGGTTCGTTTTGAGGTTCGGTGTTGGCACAAATCTACGTTTTTGCAAAAGTGAGATTCTGTTTTGGTTTGGTTTGTTTTGTGGTATGGATGGACTCAGGTTTGGTTCGGAGTCAGGTTTGGTTTAATGTTCGTAAATTCTGTTTTAGGTTTCAGTTTTTGGTTCTCTTTTGTTGTTTAGGTTTGACTTTTTGTTTGGTTTTTGGTTGTGGTATGGGAGTTTGGTTAGGTTCGGAGTCTGGTTCGGAGTTAGGTTCGGAGTTAGGTTTGGTTAAGTCTGCGTCATAGATTCGGTTGTAGTAGGTCCGGAGTTAGGTTTGGAGTCAGAAAGGTTCGTTTGGGGTTTTAGGTTCTGTGTAAGGTTCAGAGTTAGGTTATTTTTTGTTTTTAGGTTCGTTTGGGGTTTTAGGTTCTGTGTAAGGTTCAGAGGTTATTTTAAAACTAGGTATGGACCCGGGCCGGTCCCGGGTGGGCTTTTTTTGTTGAATGATGGGTCTGGAACTAGCCCAGGGCGATATCGGGTCCGGTCCGGGTTGGTCCTACCTGGCCGGGTTGTGGGCTGCTTCGGGCCGGACCAGGCTTGGGCTAGTTTTTTTTTAAATTCAGATTAGTTGGGCAAAAAAATTTAAACTGTAATAATTTGAAATATGAAACAATTGGAAATTTTGAATTGGAGATTTTGAATTAACTAACAATAATTTACTAGTTTTTATAGTAGATTAATAAATGCAACAATTAACTAGTTTATTAAATTTATTCGATGCCACATATTTAATTTTATTGCATGTAGCGTGCATATATTTTTATACACCAAGTACAATACAAAATATTTTGATATTACTTTTATTTGAGTTAGGGGAAAATAATTAAAATACCCCAAACTTTGAAGAGGTGTGAGATAAACACCCCAAACTTGCATACGTAATTTAAATACCTCAAACTTTATATAAAAAATTAATGTAGCACCATGATCAAGTATTATTTCTTTCAAAATTAATCATTTTTTGTGTTTATAATATTTTGGAGTTAGGTTCGGTGTTAGGTTCGGAGTCAGGTTCGGAACGAGGTTCTGAGCGAGGTTCGGTTGTAGGTTTGGTTGTAGGTTCGAGGTTAGGTTTTAGGTTCGAGGTTCGGTTTTAGGTTCGAGGTTTGGTTTTAGGGTTAAGGTTTTGGTCTTAGGTTCGGTTTTAGGTTTGGTGAAAGATTTTTGAGTCTTAAAGAAGAATTTTTAGCTTTACAATTTCTTCGGATAAGCTTGAGATGATGAAACCAAAATTTGAATAAGAGCTCGGATTAAGGAGGGAGTGGTACACATAGATGACTCCAAACGTAGCTTGGAAACTTCCCCAAGCCAAAAGATTTCGCACAAATCTACGTTTGTGCAAAAGTGAGATCCTGTTTTGGTTTGGTTTTAGGTTCGGATTGACTCATGTTCGGTTTGGAGTCAGGTTTGGTTTAAGGTTCGTTTTGAGGTTCGGTTTTAGCACAAATCTACGTTTTTGCAAAAGTGAGATTCTGTTTTGGTTTGGTTCGTTTTGAGGTTCGGATGGACTCGGGTTGTGTTCGGGGTCAGGTTTGGTTTAAGGTTCGTAAGTTCTGTTTTAGGTTTCAGTTTTTAATTCGGGCAGAGCTAGTTTCGTTTTTCTTTGTTTAGATTTGGGTTAAGTTCTTTTGTTGTTTAGGTTTGACTTTTGGTTTGGTTTTTGGTTGTGGTTTGGGGGTCTGGTTTGGTTCGGAGTCAGGTTCGGAGTTATGTTTGGTTAAGTCTGGGTCATATATTAGGTTATAGTAGGTCCGGAGTTAGGTTTGGAGTCAGAAAGGTTCGTTTGGGGTTTTAGGTTCTGTGTAAGGTTCAGAGATAGGTTATTTTTTGTTTTTAGGTTCCAGGCCAACCCAGCCTTCCATCTCATCACCTATTATTTTTACCTCGTCCCTTATCAGTGGCATGATTATTAAGAACCACACAAAATTTACCCAATATGGTATGGGATAATTTTAGTGAGATCCTGAAAAGTTAAACCTAGGTATGGACCCGGGCCGGTCCCGGGTTGGCTTTTTTTGTTGAATGATGGGTCCGGAACCGGCCCAATGGTGATATCGGGTCCGGTCGGGGTCTGGCCTACCCGGCCGGGTTGTCGGCTGCTTCGTGCCGGACCAGGCCTCGGCTAGTTTTTTTTTTTGAATTCAGATTAGTTGGGCATAAAAATTTAAACTGTATTAATTTGAAATATTTAACAATCGAAAATTTTGAATAGGAGATTTCGAATTAACTAACAATAATTAACTAGTTTTTACAGTAGATTAATAAATGCAACAAATAACTAGTTTAATAAATTTTTTCGATGCCAGGTATTTAATTTTATTGCATGTAGCGTGCATATATTTTTTATACACCAAGTATAATACAAAATATTTTGATATTACTTTTATTTGAGTTAGGGTAAAATAATTAAAATACCCAAACTTTGAAGAGGTGTGAGATAAACACCCCAAACTTGCATACGTAATTTAAATACCCCAAACTTTATATAAAAAATTAGTGTAGCACCATGATAAAAAATTATTTCTTTCAAAATTAATAATTCTTTGTGTTTATAATATTTCGGAGTTATGTTCGGAATTAGGTTCGGAGTTAGGTTCGGAGCGAGGTTCGGAACGAGGTTCGGTTGTAGGTTCGAGGTTCGGTTTTAGGGTTTAGGTTTAAGTCTTAGGTTCGGTTTTAGGTTTGGTGAAAGATTTTTGAGTCTTAAAGAAGAATTTTTAGCTTTACAATTTCTTCGAATCAGCTTGAGATGATGAAACCAAAATTTGAATAAGAGCACGGATTGAGGGCGTGGTACACATAGATGACTCCAAACGTAGCTCGGAAACTTCCCCAAGCCAAAGGATTTCGCACAAATCTACGTTTTTGCAAAAGTGAGATCTTGGTTTGGTTTTAGGTTCGGATTGACTCATGTTCGGTTTGGAGTCAGGTTTGGTTTAAGGTTCGTTTTGAGGTTCGGTTTTAGCACAAATCTACGTTTTTTCAAAAGTGAGATTCTGTTTTGGTTTGGTTCGTTTTGAGGTTCAGATGGACTCGGGTTCGGTTTGGAGTCAGGTTTGGTTTAAGATTCGTAAGTTCTGTTTTAGGTTTCAGTTTTTGGTTCGGTCAGAGCTAGTTTCGTTTTTTTGTTTAGATTGGGGTTAAGTTCTTTTGTTCTTTAGGTTTGACTTTGGGTTTGGTTTTTGGTTGTGGTTTGGGAGTCTGGTTTGGTTCGGAGTCTGGTTCGGAGTTAGGTTCGGAGTTAGGTTTGGTTAAGTCTGGGTCATAGATTCGGTTGTAGTAGGTTCGGAGTTAGGTTTGGAGTCAGAAAGGTTCGTTTGGGGTTTTAGGTTCTGTGTAAGGTTCAGAGTTAGGTTATTTTTTGTTTTTAGGTTCCAGGCCAACCCAGCCTTCTATCTCATCACCTATTATTACTACCTCGTCCCTTATCAGTGGCATGATTATTAAGAACCACACAAACTTTACCCAATATGGTATTAAAACTAGGTATGGACCCGGGCCGGTCCCGGGCAGACTTTTTTGTTGAATGATGGGCCCGGAACCGGCCCAGGGTGATATCGGGTTCGGTCCGGGTCAGGCCTACCCGGCCGGGTTGTGGGCCTCGCTCAAGCCTATTATTATACCGTGCTAGAGCCTCGCTCTTAGTTAATCTATGTCGTGCTAGAGCCCCACTCTTAGTCGTCGTTCTACGTTCGGTTTTAGGTTTGGCGAAAGATTTTTGAGTCTTAAAGAAGAATTTTTAGCTTTACAATTTCTTCGGATCAGCTTGAGATGATGAAATCAAAATTTGAATAAGAGCTCGGATTAAGGAGGGAGTGGTACACATAGATGACCTCCAAACGTAGCTCGGAAACTTCCCCGAGCCAAAGGATTTCGCACAAATCTACGTTTTTGCAAAAGTGAGATTCTGTTTTGGTTTGGTTTTAGGTTCGGATTGACTCATGTTCAGTTTGGAGTCAGGTCTGGTCTAAGGTTCGTTTTGAGGTTCGGTGTTAGCACAAATCTACGTTTTTGCAAAAGTGAGATTCTGTTTTGGTTTGGTTTGTTTTGTGGTATGGATGGACTCAGGTTTGGTTCGGAGTGAGGTTTGGTTTAATGTTCGTAAGTTCTGTTTTAGGTTTCAGTTTTTGGTTCTCTTTTGTTGTTTAGGTTTGACTTTTTGTTTGGTTTTTGGTTGTGGTTTGGGAGTTTGGTTAGGTTCGGAGTCAGGTTCGGAGTTGGGTTTGGTTAAGTCTGGGTCATAGATTCGGTTGTAGTAGGTCCGGAGTTAGGTTTGGAGTCAGAAAGGTTCGTTTGGGATTTTAGGTTCTGTGTAAGGTTCAGAGTTAGGTTATTTTTTGTTTTTAGGTTCGTTTGGGGTTTTAGATTCTGTGTAAGGTTCAGAGGTTATTTTTTGTTTTTAGGTTCCAGGCCAACCCAGCCTTCCATCTCATCACCTATTATTACTACCTCGTCCCTTATCAGTGGCATGATTATTAAGAACCACGCAAACTTTGCCCAATATGGTATGGGACAATTTTAGTAAGATCCTGAAAAGTTAAAACTAGGTATGGACCCGGGCCGGTCCCGGGTGGGCTTTTTTTGTTGAATGATGGGTTTAGAACTGGCCCAGGGCGATATCGGGTCCGGTCCGTGTTGGTCCTACCCGGCCGGGTTGTGGGCTGCTTCGGGCCGGACCAGGCCTGAGCTAGTTTTTTTTTTAATTTCAGATTAGTTGGGCATAAAAATTTAAACTGTAATAATTTGAAATATGAAACAATTGGAAATTTTGAATTGCAGATTTTGAATTAACTAACTATAATTTACTAGTTTTTATAGTAGATTAATAAATGCAACAATTAACTAGTTTAAAAAATTTATTCGATGCCACATATTTAATTTTATTGCATGTAGCGTGCATATATTTTTATACACCAAGTACAATACAAAATATTTTGATATTACTTTTATTTGAGTTAGGGGAAAATAATTAAAATACCCCAAACTTTGAAGAGGTGTGAGATAAACACCCCAAACTTGCATACGTAATTTAAATACCTCAAACTTTATATAAAAAATTAATGTAGCACCATGATCAAGTATTATTTCTTTCAAAATTAATAATTTTTTGTGTTTATAATATTTCGGAGTTAGGTTCGGTGTTAGGTTCGGAGTCAGGTTCGGAACGAGGTTCGGAACGAGGTTCTGAGCGAGGTTCGGTTGTAGGTTTGGTTGCAGGTTCGAGGTTCGAGGTTCGGTTTTAGGTTCGAGGTTCGGTTTTAAGTTCGAGGTTCGATTTTAGGTTCGAGGTTTGGTTTTAGGGTTTAGGTTTTGGTCTTAGGTTCGGTTTTAGGTTTGGTGAAAGATTTTTGAGTCTTAAACAAGAATTTTTAGCTTTACAATTTCTTCGGATAAGCTTGAGATGATGAAACCAAAATTTGAATAAGAGCTCGGATTAAGGAGGGAGTGGTACACATAGATGACTCCAAACGTAGCTCGGAAACTTCCCCAAGCCAAAGGATTTCGCACAAATCTACGTTTTTGCAAAAGTGAGATTCTGTTTTGGTTTGGTTTTAGGTTCGGATTGACTCATGTTCAGTTTGGAGTCAGGTCTAGTCTAAGGTTCGTTTTGAGGTTCGGTGTTGGCACAAATCTACGTTTTTGCAAAAGTGAGATTCTGTTTTGGTTTGGTTTGTTTTGTGGTATGGATGGACTCAGGTTTGGTTCGGAGTCAGGTTTGGTTTAATGTTCGTAAATTCTGTTTTAGGTTTCAGTTTTTGGTTCTCTTTTGTTGTTTAGGTTTGACTTTTTGTTTGGTTTTTGGTTGTGGTATGGGAGTTTGGTTAGGTTCGGAGTCTGGTTCGGAGTTAGGTTCGGAGTTAGGTTTGGTTAAGTCTGCGTCATAGATTCGGTTGTAGTAGGTCCGGAGTTAGGTTTGGAGTCAGAAAGGTTCGTTTGGGGTTTTAGGTTCTGTGTAAGGTTCAGAGTTAGGTTATTTTTTGTTTTTAGGTTCGTTTGGGGTTTTAGGTTCTGTGTAAGGTTCAGAGGTTATTTTAAAACTAGGTATGGACCCGGGCCGGTCCCGGGTGGGCTTTTTTTGTTGAATGATGGGTCTGGAACTGGCCCAGGGCGATATCGGGTCCGGTCCGGGTTGGTCCTACCTGGCCGGGTTGTGGGCTGCTTCGGGCCGGACCAGGCTTGGGCTAGTTTTTTTTTAAATTCAGATTAGTTGGGCAAAAAAATTTAAACTGTAATAATTTGAAATATGAAACAATTGGAAATTTTGAATTGGAGATTTTGAATTAACTAACAATAATTTACTAGTTTTTATAGTAGATTAATAAATGCAACAATTAACTAGTTTAATAAATTTATTCGATGCCACATATTTAATTTTATTGCATGTAGCGTGCATATATTTTTATACACCAAGTACAATACAAAATATTTTGATATTACTTTTATTTGAGTTAGGGGAAAATAATTAAAATACCCCAAACTTTGAAGAGGTGTGAGATAAACACCCCAAACTTGCATACGTAATTTAAATACCTCAAACTTTATATAAAAAATTAATGTAGCACCATGATCAAGTATTATTTCTTTCAAAATTAATCATTTTTTGTGTTTATAATATTTTGGAGTTAGGTTCGGTGTTAGGTTCGGAGTCAGGTTCGGAACGAGGTTCTGAGCGAGGTTCGGTTGTAGGTTTGGTTGTAGGTTCGAGGTTAGGTTTTAGGTTCGAGGTTCGGTTTTAGGTTCGAGGTTTGGTTTTAGGGTTAAGGTTTTGGTCTTAGGTTCGGTTTTAGGTTTGGTGAAAGATTTTTGAGTCTTAAAGAAGAATTTTTAGCTTTACAATTTCTTCGGATAAGCTTGAGATGATGAAACCAAAATTTGAATAAGAGCTCGGATTAAGGAGGGAGTGGTACACATAGATGACTACAAACGTAGCTTGGAAACTTCCCCAAGCCAAAGGATTTCGCACAAATCTACGTTTGTGCAAAAGTGAGATCCTGTTTTGGTTTGGTTTTAGGTTCGGATTGACTCATGTTCGGTTTGGAGTCAGGTTTGGTTTAAGGTTCGTTTTGAGGTTCTGTTTTAGCACAAATCTACGTTTTTGCAAAAGTGAGATTCTGTTTTGGTTTGGTTCGTTTTGAGGTTCGGATGGACTCGGGTTGGGTTCGGGGTAAGGTTTGGTTTAAGGTTCGTAAGTTCTTTTTTAGGTTTCAGTTTTTGGTTCGGTCAGAGCTAGTTTCGTTTTTTTTTTGTTTAGATTGGGGTTAAGTTCTTTTGTTGTTTAGGTTTGACTTTTGGTTTGGTTTTTGGTTGTGGTTTGGGGGTCTGGTTTGGTTCGGAATCAGGTTCGGAGTTATGTTTGGTTAAGTCTGGGTCATATATTAGGTTATAGTAGGTCCGGAGTTAGGTTTGGAGTCAGAAAGGTTCGTTTGGGGTTTTAGGTTCTGTGTAAGGTTCAGAGATAGGTTATTTTTTTTTTTAGGTTCCAGGCCAACCCAACCTTCCATCTCATCACCTATTATTTTTACCTCGTCCCATATCAGTGGCATGATTATTAAGAACCACACAAACTTTACCCAATATGGTATGGGATAATTTTAGTGAGATCCTGAAAAGTTAAACCTAGGTATGGACCCGGGCCGGTCCCGGGTTGGCTTTTTTTGTTGAATGATGGGTCCGGAACCGGCCCAATGGTGATATCGGGTCCGGTCGGGGTCTGGCCTACCCGGCCGGGTTGTCGGCTGCTTCGGGCCGGACCAGGCCTCGGCTAGTTTTTTTTTTAAATTCAGATTAGTTGGGCATAAAAATTTAAACTGTATTAATTTGAAATATTTAACAATTGAAAATTTTGAATAGGAGATTTCGAATTAACTAACAATAATTAACTAGTTTTTATAGTAGATTAATAAATGCAACAATTAACTAGTTTAATAAATTTTTTCGAAGCCACATATTTAATTTTATTGCATGTAGCGTGCATATATTTTTTATACACCAAGTATAATACAAAATATTTTGATAGTACTTTTTTTCGAGTTAGGGGAAAATAATTAAAATACCCAAACTTTGAAGAGGTGTGAGATAAACACCCCAAACTTGCATACGTAATTTAAATACCCCAAACTTTATATAAAAAATTAGTGTAGCACCATGATAAAAAATTATTTCTTTCAAAATTAATAATTCTTTGTGTTTATAATATTTCGGAGTTATGTTCAGAATTAGGTTCGGAGTTAGGTTCGGAGCGAGGTTCGGAACGAGGTTCGGTTGTAGGTTCGAGGTTCGGTTTTAGGGTTTAGGTTTTGGTCTTAGGTTCGGTTTTAGGTTTGGTGAAAGATTTTTGAGTCTTAAAGAAGAATTTTTAGCTTTACAATTTCTTCGGATCAACTTGAGATGATGAAACCAAAATTTGAATAAGAGCACGGATTGAGGGAGTGGTACACATAGATGACTCCAAACGTAGCTCGGAAACTTCCCCAAGCCAAAGGATTTCGCACAAATCTACGTTTTTGCAAAAGTGAGATCTTGGTTTGGTTTTAGGTTCGGATTGACTCATGTTCGGTTTGGAGTCAGGTTTGGTTTAAGGTTCGTTTTGAGGTTCGGTTTTAGCACAAATCTACGTTTTTTCAAAAGTGAGATTCTGTTTTGGTTTGGTTCGTTTTGAGGTTCCGATGGACTCAGGTTCGGTTCGGAGTCAGGTTTGGTTTAAGGTTCGTAAGTTCTGTTTTAGGTTTCAGTTTTTGGTTCGGTCAGAGCTAGTTTCGTTTTTTTGTTTAGATTGGGGTTAATTCTTTTAGTCTTTAGGTTTGACTTTGGGTTTGGTTTTTGGTTGTGGTTTGGGAGTCTGGTTTGGTTCGGAGTCTGGTTCGGAGTCAGGTTCGGAGTTAGGTTTGGTTAAGTCTGGGTCATAGATTCGGTTGTAGTAGGTCCGGAGTTAGGTTTGGAGTCAGAAAGGTTCGTTTGGGGTTTTAGGTTCTGTGTAAGGTTCAGAGTTAGGTTATTTTTTGTTTTTAGGTTCCAGGCCAACCCAGCCTTCCATCTCATCACCTATTATTACTACCTCGTCCCTTATCAGTGGCATGATTATTAAGAACCACAAAAACTTTACCCAATATGGTATTAAAACTAGGTATGGACCCGGGCCGGTCCCGGGCAGACTTTTTTTGTTGAATGATGGGCCCGGAACCGGCCCAGGGTGATATCGGGTTCGGTCCGGGTCAGGCCTACCCGGCCGGGTTGTGGGCCTCGCTCAAGCCTATTATTATACCGTGCTAGAGCCTCGCTCTTAGTTAATCTATGTCGTGCTAGAGCCCCACTCTTAGTCGTCGTTCTACGTTCGGTTTTAGGTTTGGCGAAAGATTTTTGAGTCTTAAAGAAGAATTTTTAGCTTTACAATTTCTTCGGATCAGCTTGAGATGATGAAATCAAAATTTGAATAAGAGCTCGGATTAAGGAGGGAGTGGTACACATAGATGACCTCCAAACGTAGCTCGGAAACTTCCCCGAGCCAAAGGATTTCGCACAAATCTACGTTTTTGCAAAAGTGAGATTCTGTTTTGGTTTGGTTTTAGGTTCGGATTGACTCATGTTCAGTTTGGAGTCAGGTCTGGTCTAAGGTTCGTTTTGAGGTTCGGTGTTAGCACAAATCTACGTTTTTGCAAAAGTGAGATTCTGTTTTGGTTTGGTTTGTTTTGTGGTATGGATGGACTCAGGTTTGGTTCGGAGTGAGGTTTGGTTTAATGTTCGTAAGTTCTGTTTTAGGTTTCAGTTTTTGGTTCTCTTTTGTTGTTTAGGTTTGACTTTTTGTTTGGTTTTTGGTTGTGGTTTGGGAGTTTGGTTAGGTTCGGAGTCAGGTTCGGAGTTGGGTTTGGTTAAGTCTGGGTCATAGATTCGGTTGTAGTAGGTCCGGAGTTAGGTTTGGAGTCAGAAAGGTTCGTTTGGGATTTTAGGTTCTGTGTAAGGTTCAGAGTTAGGTTATTTTTTGTTTTTAGGTTCGTTTGGGGTTTTAGGTTCTGTGTAAGATTCAGAGGTTATTTTTTGTTTTTAGGTTCCAGGCCAACCCAGCCTTCCATCTCATCACCTATTATTACTACCTCGTCCCTTATCAGTGGCATGATTATTAAGAACCACGCAAACTTTGCCCAATATGGTATGGGACAATTTTAGTAAGATCCTGAAAAGTTAAAACTAGGTATGGACCCGGCCGGTCCCGGGTGGGCTTTTTTTGTTGAATGATGGGTCTGGAACTGGCCCAGGGCGATATCGGGTCCGGTCCGGGTTGGTCCTACCGGGCCGGGTTGTGGGCTGCATCGGGCCGGACCAGGCCTGAGCTAGTTTTTTTTTTAAATTCAGATTAGTTGGGCATAAAAATTTAAACTGTAATAATTTGAAATATGAAACAATTGGAAATTTTGAATTGGAGATTTTGAATTAACTAACAATAATTTACTAGTTTTTATAGTAGATTAATAAATGCAACAATTAACTAGTTTAATAAATTTATTCGATGCCACATATTTAATTTTATTGCATGTAGCGTGCATATATTTTTATACACCAAGTACAATACAAAATATTTTGATATTACTTTTATTTGAGTTAGGGGAAAATAATTAAAATACCCCAAACTTTGAAGAGGTATGAGATAAACACCCCAAACTTGCATACGTAATTTAAATACCTCAAACTTTATATAAAAAATTAATGTAGCACCATGATCAAGTATTATTTCTTTCAAAATTAATAATTTTTTGTGTTTATAATATTTCGGAGTTAGGTTCAGTGTTAGGTTCGGAGTCAGGTTCGGAACGAGGTTCTGAGCGAGGTTCGGTTGTAGGTTTGGTTGCAGGTTCGAGGTTCGAGGTTCGGTTTTAGGTTCGAGGTTCGGTTTTAAGTTCGAGGTTCGATTTTAGGTTCGAGGTTTGGTTTTAGGGTTTAGGTTTTGGTCTTAGGTTCGGTTTTAGGTTTGGTGAAAGATTTTTGAGTCTTAAAGAAGAATTTTTAGCTTTACAATTTATTCGGATAAGCTTGAGATGATGAAACCAAAATTTGAATAAGAGCTCGGATTAAGGAGGGAGTGGTACACATAGATGACTCCAAACGTAGCTCGGAAACTTCCCCAAGCCAAAGGATTTCGCACAAATCTACGTTTTTGCAAAAGTGAGATCCTGTTTTGGTTTGGTTTTAGGTTCGGATTGACTCATGTTCGGTTTGGAGTCAGGTTTGGTTTAAGGTTCGTTTTGAGGTTCGGTTTTAGCACAAATCTACGTTTTTGCAAAAGTGAGATTCTGTTTTGGTTTGGTTCGTTTTGAGGTTCGGTTTTAGCACAAATCTACGTTTTTGCAAAAGTGAGATTCTGTTTTGGTTTGGTTCGTTTTGAGGTTCGGATGGACTCAGGTTCGGTTCGAAGTCAGGTTTGGTTTAAGGTTCGTAAGTTCTGTTTTAGGTTTCAGTTTTTGGTTCGGTTAGAGCTAGTTTCGTTTTTTTTTGTTTAGATTGGGGTTAAGTTCTTTTGTTGTTTAGGTTTGACTTTTGGTTTGGTTTTTGGTTGTGGTTTGGGAGTCTGGTTTGGTTCGGAGTCAGGTTCGGAGTTATGTTTGGTTAAGTTTGGGTCATATATTAGGTTATAGTAGGTCCGGAGTTAGGTTTGGAGTCAGAAAGGTTCGTTTGGGGTTTTAGGTTCTCTGTAAGGTTCAGAGTTAGGTTATTTTTTGTTTTTAGGTTCTAGGCCAACCCAGCCTTCCATCTCATCACCTATTATTACTACCTCGTCCCTTATCAGTGACATGATTATTAAGAACCACACAAACTTTACCCAATATGGTATGAGACAATTTTAGTGAGATCTTGAAAAGTTAAACCTAGGTATGGACCCGGACCGGTCCCAGTTTGGCTTTTTTTGTTGAATGATGGGTCCGGAACCGGCCCAATGGTGATATCGGGTCCGGTCCGGGTCGGGTCTACCCGGCCAGGTTGTCGGCTGCTTCGGGCCGGACCAGGCCTCAGCTAGTCTTTTTTTTAAATTCAGATTAGTTGGGCATAAAAATTTAAACTGTATTAATTTGAAATATGTAACAATTGAAAATTTTGAATAGGAGATTTCGAATTAACTAACAATAATTAACTAGTTTTTACAGTAGATTAATAAATGCAACAAATAACTAGTTTAATAAATTTTTTCGATGCCACATATTTAATTTTATTGCATGTAGCGTGCATATATTTTTTATACACCAAGTATAATACAAAATATTTTGATATTACTTTTATTTGAGTTAGGGTAAAATAATTAAAATACCCAAACTTTGAAGAGGTGTGAGATAAACACCCCAAACTTGCATACGTAATTTAAATACCCCAAACTTTATATAAAAAATTAGTGTAGCACCATGATAAAAAATTATTTCTTTCAAAATTAATAATTCTTTGTGTTTATAATATTTCGGAGTTATGTTCGGAATTAGGTTCTGAGTTAGGTTCAAAGGTTCGGAACGAGGTTCGAAGCGAGGTTCGGTTGTAGGTTCGGTTGTAGGTTCGAGGTTCGGTTTTAGGTTCGAGGTTCGGTTTGAAGTTTGAGGTTCGGTTTTAGGGTTTAGGTTTTGGTCTTAGGTTCGGTTTTAGGTTTGGTGAAAGATTTTTGAGTCTTAAAGAAGAATTTTTAGCTTTACAATTTCTTCGGATCAACTTGAGATGATGAAACCAAAATTTGAATAAGAGCACGGATTGAGGAGGGAGTTGTACACATAGATGACTCCAAACGTAGCTCGGAAACTTCCCCAAGCCAAAGGATTTCGCACAAATCTACGTTTTTGCAAAAGTGAGATCCTGTTTTGGTTTGGTTTTAGGTTCGGATTGACTCATGTTCGGTTTGGAGTCAGGTTTGGTTTAAGGTTCGTTTTGAGGTTCGGTTTTAGCACAAATCTACGTTTTTTCAAAAGTGAGATACTGTTTTGGTTTGGTTCGTTTTGAGGTTCAGATGGACTCGGGTTCGGTTCGGAGTCAGGTTTGGTTTAAGGTTCGTAAGTTCTGTTTTAGGTTTCAGTTTTCGGTTCGGTCAGAGCTAGTTTCGTTTTTTTGTTTAGATTGGGGTTAAGTTCTTTTGTTCTTTAGGTTTGACTTTGGGTTGGTTTTTGGTTGTGGTTTGGTAGTCTGTTTTGGTTCGGAGTATGGTTCGGAGTCAGGTTCAGAGTTAGGTTTGGTTAAGTCTGGGTCATAGATTCGGTTGTAGTAGGTCCGGAGTTAGGTTTGGAGTCAGAAAGGTTCGTTTGGGGTTTTAGGTTCTGTGTAAGGTTCAGAGTTAGGTTATTTTTTGTTTTTAGGTTCCAGGCCAACCCAGCCTTCCATCTCATCACCTATTATTACTACCTCGTCCCTTATGAGTGGCATGATTATTAAGAACCACACAAACTTTACCCAATATGGTATTAAAACTAGGTATGGACCCGGGCCGGTCCCGAGCAGACTTTTTTTGTTGAATGATGGGCCCGGAACCGGCCCAGGGTGATATCGGGTCCGGTCCGGGTCAGGCCTACCCGGCCGGGTTGTGGGCCTCGCTCAAGCCTATTATTATACCGTGCTAGAGCCTCGCTCTTAGTTAATCTATGTCGTGCTAGAGCCCCACTCTTAGTCGTCATTCTACGTTAGGCTACAGCCTCCCTCTTAGTCAGTCTACGTTTATGGTAGAGCCTCGCTCTTAGTCATCTACATTAGGCTGGAGCCCCACCTTAGTCAATCTACATTTATGCTAGAGCCTTGCTATTAGTCATCTACATTTGGCTAGAGCCTCGCTCTTAGTCAATCTACATTTATGTTAGAGCCTCGCTCTTAATCATCCACATTAGGCTAGAGCCCCGCTCTTAGTCAATCTACATTTGGCTAGAGTACCGCTCTTAGTCAATTTACATTTGTGCTAGAGCCTCGCTCTTAGTCATCTACATTTGGCTAGAGCCTCGCTCTTAGTCAATCTACATTTATGCTAGAACCTCGCTCTTAGTCATCCACATTAGACTAGAGCCCCACTCTTAGTCAATCTACATTTGTGCTAGAGTCTCGCTCTTAGTCATCTACATTAGGCTAGAGCCCCGCTCTTAGCCAATCTATTCGATTCCTAAGCCAATGTTGTGCCTAGAATCAATTTACCTTGAGTAGCCTTTAAGGCCTACTCCTAACATATCTTAGAGCTTGTATATTTCGACCTTTAAGTATCTCTTAAGACTACTTAAGGCATCTCTATTCACAATCATATCTCTTAGGATTAATTTCATCATTTATTTATATTAATCTCCCGACTAGTATTTCAATACTAGTCGGATAATCTTAGAACAATCAAGTTCCTAATTCATAATCAACATTTCATTTCAATTGATTCCCCAGTCCAAATACAATTTAATCTCAATATCTGAAATATCAACTTTATCCATTCATGAATTCTATACATGAACTAAAAGTATATTTTTATCACAATATTTTCATAGTTAATTCCATTTTCATGCTATCTCTTTCATATCACATAATCATACACAATTTCTTCCAAATTTGTATATCATGCTTCCTCTACTCATAAACAATAGCATTTTCATTTAGGCATTATTAATCATTAATAATCCGTGAAAATCACATTTTATTACTTTAGGTAATCTTATGAAATTAACCCACTAATTATAAGCAATATAGTCAGTCATCCTCACCTCAAATATGTCCAACAAGCCTTCCTATTGAAGCCCCATCGTTAAACCTTCGATCGAGGATGATCCGAGATAGACTTGGCTGGCAGAGGGCAAAAGCTGCCCGGATTTTGCAAAAGCTGTCCGGCTTTCGGGCCCTGCAGCACGAAAATAGCTCCTAGCAATGGTGGTTTCCGACGATTTCGATTCCTATCGATTCCAACACTCTTCTAAGTTAAATACCAACACTTTATATCATTTTCTACACCTTTAAAATGTGTAGACATCCCCTAGAATTCATCATATGATTTCTATAAAATCATACATGAAATTATATATATATATATATATATATATATATATATATATATATATATATATATATATATATATATATATATATATATATATATATATATATATATAACGGAAGAACAAGAACCGGAGCTACGAGGTTCTTACCGCTAGACTTTGTTTTCTCTCGGATTGCTCCTCTTCTTGACCTTCTTCCTTCTTGGTTTTGTGAGGTGTGTATGGAGCTCTCAATACTCCCCTCTCCTTTGTGTCTTACGCAGGACCTCTCAAATGAAGGGATAAGGAGACTCCCCTCCCTTATCTTCTATTTTTAGAAGGTTGGGCCAATTTAGTTGGGTTGGGTTCGTGGGCTGCTCCTTTTAATTTACTCTGACCCAAATGACTTTTATTCGTTTACTTATATTATGTTAGGCTTGTAGACCTCAATAGATCGATCCTAAAATTTGTTGGATATTCCTCTTTAATGTTTCGGGCTTAAACCCCTTTACCTTTCTATTATTAGAAAGTGGCTCAAAAAGTCTCTTTATATTATTCCTTTACCTTTTATCCGGCCCAAACATTCGTATATAACTTATTTCCTTATCATTGGGCTTTTAACTAATCTAACATGGTCCAAGAATATACTAGTTAATCCCTCCCCATGTTTTTAGGGTCCGACACACAATATAATTAATCGGTATTAATTTAATCAATTAATCATTTCTCATATGATTAATATTTTTGTAACTAGTTTACAAAATGAATAAGTATTCACGAACTCAACTAGTCATCCTCATCGACATTGGTATTTGTAATTTCTATTAAATTTTAATATTAATGGATTAATTAATCCCAGTTCAAATTGGGAGCGGTGTCACGCGCTGAGGGGCCAATCGTGCGACATAAGATAGTGGTCCTCATTTGCTCGTCGTACCTGCCCATTAACCCGGTCCTTTGGATCCTGAGCTGAGCTAGGCCGTCGTAGTCTGTGAGGAACGGTTTGATCCTCTTGGGACTCTTTTGTTTGATCCTCTCGGGATTCTTTAGTTTGATCCTCTTGGGATTCCTTTGTTTGATCCTCTTGGGATTCTTTTGTTTGATCTTCTTGGGATTCTTTTGTTTGATCCTCTTGGGATTCTTTTGTTTGATCCTCTTGGGATTCTTTTGTTTGATTCTCTTGGAATTCTTTTGTTTGATCCTGTTGGGATTCTTTTGTTTGATCATCTTGGGATTCTTTTGTTTTTGTTCGTCATCCGCTCGTCGTACCCGCCCTTTTTGCCTGGTCCTTTGGATCCTGAGCTGAGCTAAGTCAACGTAGTCGGTGAGGAACGGGTTTGTCCCCTTTAGGGATTCCCCCGCCCATATATATATATATATATATATATATATATATATATATATATATATATATATATATATATATATATATATATATATATATATATATATATATATATATATATATATATATATATATATATATATATATATGGGCTTATCTTTGTTTCGCCATCTGCTCGTCTTACCCGCCCTTGGGACCGGTCCTTTGGATCCTGAACTGAGCTAAGCCGCGATTGTGATGGGAAATGAGTTTATCCCCTCTGGGGATTCCCCATTTCTTCGTTTCGTCATCCGCTCATCTTAATCGCCCTTTAGCCCGTTCCTTTGGATCTTCAGCTGAGCTAGGCCGCGATTGTGATGGGAAACGGTTTTATCCTTTTGAGGATTCCCCGGTGTCCCTCTATTTTTTTAGGGGTCTTATCTTTGTTTCGCCATCCGCTCGTCTTACCTGCCCTTGGGCCCGGTCCTTTGGATCCTGAGCGGAGCTAAGCCGCGATTGTGATGGGAAAAGGGTTTATCCCCTTTGGGGATTCCCCATTTCTTCGTTTCGTCATCCGCTCGTCTTCTTCGCCATTTAGCCCGATCCTTTGGATCCTGAGCTGAGCTAGGCCGCGATTGTAATGGGAAACAGGTTTATCCTTTGAGGATTCCCCGGTGCCCCTCTATATTTTTTTGAGGGGTCTTTGAATATGATGATGGCACCGTACTAGGGGGTCGGTGGCTATATAAAGGTGTCGGCGTTGGGGCCGATCTTTAATAATCAATCAACGGTCCTCATCTGCGAGGAGCAGGGACGAGGCCGGTCTTCAAGTATGATGATGGCACCGTACCTGGGGGGTCGGTGGCCATATAATGATGTCGGCACTAGGGGCCGATCTGAAAGAATTAATCAACGGTCCTCATCCGCAAGTATCGGGGATGAGACCGATCTTCAAATATGATGATGGCACCGTACCAGGGGGTCGGTGGCCATATGATGATGTCGACACTGGGGCCCGATCTGAAAGAATCAATCAACGGTCCTCATCCGCGAGAAGCGGGGACGAGGCCGGTCTTCAAATATGATGATGGCACCGTACCAGGGGGTCGGTGGCCACGAAATGATGTCGGCACTGGGGGCCGATCTGAAAGAATCAATCAATGGTCCTCATCGCGCGAGGAGCGGGGACGAGGCCGGTCTTCAGATATGATGATGGCACTGTACTAGGGGGTCGGTAGCCATATGATGATATCGACACTGAGGGCCGATCTGAAAGAATCAATCAACGGTCCTCATGCGCGAGGAGCGGGGATGAGGCCGGTCTTGAAATATGATGATGGCACCATACCAGGGGGTCGGTGGCCATATGATGATGTCGGCACTAGAGGCCGATCTGAAAGAATCAATCAACGGTCCTCATCTGCGAGGAGCGGGGACGAGGCCGGTCTTCAAATATGATGATGGCACCGTACCATGGGGTCGGTGGCCACGAAATGATGTCGACATTGGGGCCGATCTGAAAGAATCAATCAACAGTCCTCATCCGCGAGGAGCGGGGACGAGGCCGGTCTTCAAATATGATGATGGCACCGTACCAGGGGGTCGGTGGCCATGAAATGATGTCGGCACTAAGGCCGATTTCTGAGAGAATCCATCAACGGTCCTCATCCGTGAGGAGCGAGGACAAGGCCGGTCTTCAAACATGCTCGTCCCACGGCCCTTGGCCGTGATAGTCTTCTTGAGGTCCTCGGCCTCCTGGTGGATATACTCGTCTCACAGCCCTCGGCCGTGATAGACTCCTTGGGACCCTCGGTCTCCTCTAGCCATGAACGCCCCGACCATGAACATCTCTGCGCTTCATGCTGAACGTCGTTGACCTCTCCGCTCAAATCTATCGAACGACTTTGAATGATTCTGTCAACGTTGCCGATCATGAACGTCTCTGCGCTTCATGTCGTCATTGATCTCCCCGCTTGAGTTTATCGAACGGCTTTGCCTGATTGTGATTTCTTCTTTTCTCTGCCAGTCATGAATGTCTTCGCGCTTCATGCCATATAACATGGGTCTCCCAGCTCGAGTATATCGAATGGATTCCACTGCACAATAAGCATGGTAACAAGGCTGTACGGCCCGACAACATATATACACATGTAAAGCAGTCATTTTTTATGTTCATTAACATCGGCATGAACAATCATAATAGTAATACGGCTGCACGGCTGAACAACCCATACGATGTACATGTATAGCCCCTTGGCCTAGATTTATTTGCCGTACTGGGTACAGTTGCCGTTCGGGCACTTGATGCCGAGCGGAACCACAAATGATTTCTAAATTAAAATACGTCGTCGGGCAATGCCCTTGAGAGACGCTTCTGTCAACTGACTTGGGCTGATCGGGAGTTGTTTGATACGCCCACTCAAACCACACATTTAATTAAAATGTTGGTGGACTTGTTAATAAAGTTTTGTTCGACACTATTTTATTCGGAGTGTTCTCACCCCTAACAAATAACGGTGATGTGCAAAAATAATAGCAATAACACTATATAAAGCCATTAATATTCTAATGTAGTAGCACTTGATGCTGATCGGAGGCGGGTCGACTACTAATTTACGTCGATCAGGGACGGGCCAATAGGCCCACCTAAACCGGACATTTAACTTCAAAATGACGGTGAATATCATTGGAGTTTCCCTCGACATTATTTAACTCGGGATATTTTAATTCCTAATGAATAATAGTGATAAAAGCTGATAGCAATGATGTTATTTGAAATTAATTGCCAGTGAGGAATTGGATACTTAGCTTTTGAAATGGAGCTTTAGACTTTTCGAGATTTCCCTCAAGTTAGACTGGGTTGCCCAACAATTTGACTTTGGTCAAAGTCCTCCACAAGATTCAAAATCCCCTGGTTGCGCCACCTCAATTGCTACTGTACGTGTTCAAAACCTTTCAATTTGATCTGACCTGCTTAGAGCAAAAAGATCCGGCCCAAATTTCTCTACCCACTTATGTTTTTCCAATTTTTAGAAGCATCGAGAGGGAAGTATCCTCAATTCCTCACTTGCGACAAGTCCTCCCACTGAGCGTCGTCAAAATCCAAAAAGCCGTTCGTCCACCAAGAGCTGTCCAGCGAAGGTCCGTGGGTGCTGTCGGGGTCCGAGGCGAGCGGTAGCCAGAGCCGGTGAGAAGGACGAGCGTCGGGGACTGACCGTTGGGTAGTGCTTTGGAAGCCGGGCGGTCAGCCCACACGGTGTCCGAGCTGCCCATGGGGTGTGTTGAAAAACGGATGGCATTTGATAGGCCGGGCGGCCATCCCACAGGTCCAAAGCCGAGCAGGGAAGAGCGGCCAAGCGGCTAACTAGTCTTCAAGGGGTCCAAGTTAATCAGGGGCTGAGCGGTGAAGGTCTGGCCAATCAGTGGAGGCTCGAGCAGAGCCTCCTATCCATGCTGAACGAGGCAAGGTATTCCCCAAGGCAGATCTGATTCTGATACAGTGCGGCGTCACAGCAGAGCCTCGAGCATTGGCCTAATCTAATGCGTTGATTTAGGCCTTAGGGGTTCCATTTTCAGCTCGGCCGCTGTGGTGACACAGTCGATGATGAAGCGTGTCCAGTGGTCTTACGCCGAGCGATGAGGATAGGTGCTCTAGCTGGGACCAACCCCCTTGTTTAGGAGGCAAACAACACCATAATTCATCACGTACATCCTCGATGGGGGAATGAGCGGTTCTATTTGCCAGGCGTCTTATGTGTCGGGCGGCAGGACGTCAGCGTCGGTCTAAGTGTTCAAGAGACCAGAATTCAGAGCGGCCACCCCACCAGGGCTCCGAGCTATCTAGGGGACGAGCGGTGTTGACCACCGGGTGACGTTTAAACATTGAGCAGGGCCATTGAAGCTGGGCGGCCAGCCTACAAGTTCCTTGCTGACCCTGAAGTGCATTGAGAACCGAGCGGTGTATCGCCGGTTAGTGAGCTGATCTGGTCGGCCGGAGTTGTATTGCGTTTGCTGAGCAGCGGAATTACATCGGGACCTGGTCTCTCCCTGACATGCGACGCTCGGATTGCAGGGGAGTTCCCACTTCAAAGTCATGTCGGACGAAGACGAATGACGTCTTGGAGGACGAGCGTACGATGCTGATTTTGCTTGATGGTAAACTGTCCATGATTAAGAGTAGGGCTCACATTTTGAACCGAAAAACCGAAAACCGAACCGAAAATAACCGAACCGTTTTAGAAAAAAACCGAACCGGACCGAACCGAACGAAATTGGGTGCCAATAATCGGGACCCGAAAAAAAATCGGTTCGGGTTCGGTTTATGTGCACAAAATATCGATTCGGACCGAACCGAATCGACATTTTTATATTAATAATAATAATTGTTATTTATAATAACAATAATAATTAATGACGTTTAATAAAGGTATAATACTAAACCGAGCATGATTTGATCATACTTGAAGAGTAGTCGAGTTAGTTAGCCACCGTTTGTCGTCTCTCGTAGGTCGCGTGTTCGATTCCTGAGTAAAGTTAAGTTTTGTTTTTTCAGCTTCTTTTCCTATTCTCTTTATTCTTGTCCCACATCGGAAAGGAAAATAAGAAGCTTCGTACTCCAAAACTTGAATATAAATAAGGTCCCCTTAGTGTAGAATGCCAAGATATGTCTTTGGAAGCTAAGTTACGTTTTGGGCTTCCGTTGGGCTAATTGGGCTCCAATATTGGCAAGTTCCAATTGGCTTTAATCAATTGAATATCAGTTCAAATTTATTTATAACAATTTAGTCGGTTTCTTTCGGTTTTCGATAAACCGAACCGAAAAAATCGGGTACCAAAAATCGGTACCGTTCGTACAACGGTTCGGTTCCGGTTCTGATAATTTGGTATACCGAAATATCAGTTCGGTTCGGGTATGTACCGAATCGGTTCGGAACCTGAACCGAAACTAGCCCTAATTAAGAGGCCGACAACTTGGTCTGAGCGGCACTCACCCGCGGATCTCTGAGGAGCGCAGACAACCAGGACTCAAGCCAAACTCTTTGGACGAGCTGTGCCATGAGACTGTACGGCAAATGGGTCGGAGGCCACGTTTACTTTGCAGATGGCAGATTGCCACTGCTCCGACCAACAGCAAGTTGGACTGATGCTTCGAGTGAAAATGGCTGGGCGGTGCGTGGACCGGACGGGGATTGGTGCTTCTGGATGACCCGGGCAGTGAGGACCATACGTATGGCGTAGCTCAGACTTCACGCAAGCCGTCCGGGAGCTATTCCTTGCAAAAATGGAAAACAAACTTGTGAGCCCCATCATGTTGTGCTTAGGTTTTCGCAGGGCGCATGACCTTTGACAGAGGTACGCCGAACGACCATCGAAATGGAGATGCAGGGTAAAGAGGTTCGGTTTGTAATTGAGATCACGCTGGGCGTATCAAGATTGACCGAGTACGACTGTCATTGCGTTGTTATACAAATCCTGGTTCCTGCCTTGTTTAGTTTTATGAAGTGGAATAGCGTGTGAGGAAATGGCGGCCATATTCCAGGTAGCCTCCCGTTCACCTTAGTCGGTCGGCCTGTGACTCGGATGTTCATCTGGAAGTCGGACGCTCGGGATGGTTATTAAACTCGGAGCATCCTAGGCCATGGCTCCTGTTCGGCGCTTCAATGCAATCCATTATGGATCTCCTTGTCACATCACCGTCACATCAAGCAGGTATTTGACAGCTCTTTGCTCTGACCTTGGGTCCCATTATTGTTCATTTGTGTACTCCGGTGGCCGATGTTGACATTGGATCCTTATCTCTATCATTTCATGTTTGAGCATGAAATTTTATTCTGCTTTGGGCCCTTCTGCGGATGACTTCAGCGGCTGGTTTTATGGCCCCGACCACGACCAACCCCCACTTGCTTTTCTCCTTTATTTCATTTCGTTGACACCCGTTTGAGCTGACATTTGCTAGCTCATCTTCTTCCATTATATTTTTTTTCTCTTTAGCGAACAGTGAGCTCGAGAGAGCTGAAAACTCAGAACACATGAAATCTTTTAGAACTTTTCTCACAGACGGCGCCAGTGTTGAATTTAATCCAACACGATATAATAAATATAGTGTTGAGGTTTATTCCCCTCAACCCGCAAGCCCAACACGTAACCTGGGGGTTTCGAATGGGTAGAAGGCAAATGAACTCACTAAATCAACGGGGATGGATTAAATGACTGTTTTCTTCAATATTATGATTACAAGCCGAAAAGGCCGAACGTACTGAAAATATGCTACGTACTGCTGACGCTATTACAACTCTAGAGTCACGATGTGCAAACCCTTTACAATGAAATAAATGCGACTATTTATAGTACCCCCTAGTGGTTGGGGGGGCTCACGTGGCCGGTACGGCTGTGGGCGACATGATTCCAACTACCAAATCTTCAGCATTAAATGCGCTTCCCGCCAAGATCTTGGTTTCCCGCCATAACGCGGGGGACGTCCGTCCCCTAAACCGGACTCAACTCTTTGATGGCAACCTGGGCCTTTAAGCATAGCCCACAAGACGTCCATCCCCATGTCCTTGGACCCTGAGGCCTGGCTATGACGGCTACGTACGTCCCCTGGCCCTTGAACCCTGAGGCCTGGCTATGACGGGCTACGTACGTCCCCTGCCCTTTAGGCCTTGAGGCCTGGCTATGGTGGGCCACGTACGTCCCTTGGTTCTTGGGCTTCAGGGGTTGATGGGCCGGTCCTGGAAGGCCATTAACCCAACACAAGTCCCCCATTTCGAATGTTCCGAGCCTGGGCGGGACATGAAGAAGTAAGATCACTTCCGCCGTACGCTTTGAGCCGTTGCTCCCTTTTCCCTAGGTGACGGTTGCTTTCCGCCGTACCGCCTTGAGCCATTGCTCCCTTTTCCGTAGGTGACAGTTACTTTCCGCCGCTGTTTGCGGGGCTCTAGGTGCCAGCTATCATGCCGGTTCAACTTCCAATAAAAAAGTAATCATTCCGTATCAGCCCGTCTCTATGCGACACACGTCCCTGTATGCGCTCCTTGCCACGTGTCGCCCGCGGTTTGGTTGTTGAGTCGGTGCCCTCCCCTATAAATACCGGAAATCAGGGAAGGGTTAGGGCTTTTCATCTGTTATCTTCTCTTGCCTTCTCTTGTGCCGATCGGTGAGTATTTCGGTCCCGATGTTTGTTTCTTTTCCAAGCTTCTAGCTAAGGTAAATCCCCGACTCCAATCTTCTCCTTCCTTCTCGTATATCTCCCCATGGCCTGCTCCATGGAGATTTCTTCCTCCTCGGAGACTAGCTCCGGCTCTTCTACCGGTTCTTCGGCTGGTTCATCTTCGGCGTCAGAACTCAGATCCCGTTCTTCAGCTGAGGCGAGTGGTTCTGGTCGTTCCAGCGCCTCTTCAATGGCAGTCCCTGATGTAGTGATCGATGTCGCCATCCCGGTCGCAGGGGAACAAGTTGACATGGCCGTTGACCCTGAAAACACCGTTGCAATGGCGGCACAACCTGCCGCGGCGGCGGGGCATCCAGCCGACCACGACTCGGGTGAGGAGGCTGAAGAAGGGGATGACCTCCGAATCTACAAGCGGGGCATCCACATGGACGATCATAGGCACATTGTGCTTATTCCGAACGTAGCTGTGATCGAGCAGGTTTTTTCCAAAAGGGCCTTGAGGGAGCTGCAAGTTATCCTCCCCCCACCTGCCTATTATAGCCTCCGGAGCGCAGATGACCTCTTCATGAGACGTCCGGGGATGGTGATGGTACATCTGGACTCTCTGAAGACCGGACTGCGGTTCCCGTTGCATCCGTTTTACCTGGACTTCTTCGAGTTCTACAGCGTGGTCCCGGCTCAATTCATGCCAAACTCCTACCGCCAGATCTCTGCGTTCTTTGTCCTTTGCAAATCATTGGGGCTCGCTTTCTCCCTGGAGCTGTTCCATTATTTTTTCCAAGTTACCCCCAAAATGCTGATGGGTTCCTGAGCGTGGCCGCTCGTCCCAAGAGGAAGCTGTTCGAGGGGGCTCCCTCCTCTATATATCCATGACTGGAAGAACCGTTATTTCTTTATTCGTTATGCGGACGATCGGCTCCCTGTACGATGGAATGGGTACCCTCCGAAGGTCCAGACACCGGAGCTGACCCCAGTGTTGCGAGAAGCCGTGGACAAGCTGAGGCTGGGCGGCGTTAGGAAATTAAAAGGCCTTCTGGACATCGTCGTGATGCTAGCTACAGCCCGTGCAGCTGCTCAAATCCTCTGGGGCTACCTCTTCAGCCGCGTCCCAGGCTAGTCAGCGGGTTGCCGATGCAGAGCGGCTTCTGGTCGTTGAGGTGACCGGGCAAACCTCTGAGGCCCCTCCTCCAGATAACCGGGTTCTGAATGTGAACCCGGTCGGCGTTGCTATCCCTGCTGGCGGGGATAAGGATAAGGGGAAGAAGACGAAGAGGCCGCGTCTTGAGCCTTCTGCTCCCAAGTCTACGAGCGTCGCGGTTCCCTCCGCCGTTCGACCCATTTCTGAGGTCTGGAAGGACATGGCCCTCCAGACCAGGCTGGAGTTATCAGGTCGTTCCCCGGGCGACTCTGTTGATAACGCCCTGCTTCTGAGCCTTGAGGTATGTTCTCTAGCCGTTCTCTGTGTTATCTTCTGACTCTGCTCCTCGTTTCCACCTAAACCATTTTCCTTTTTTGCAGGCCGGGCTGAGCTTGCTGCAGGTTAGGTCTGCTCGGGAGAGAGATCTCGCCGAGCTCAGGAAGAAGGTCGATGCGGCCCTTAAGAGGGAGCAGGAGGCTTCGCTGCAGCGGGAGGCCGCTCAGGCAGAGGCGAAGAAGGCGCAGGCTGCCCTGGCCCAGGCCCAACAGGAGCTCCAGGCCGTTCGTGCTCAGGGCGAACGTGAAAAACAAGGCCTGCTCGCCAAGGTAGCCCTTGCTGAGAAGCATGGGATTTCGTTTGTTCCTGCCGCAGACCCTGCCCCCCGTCCCGAAGGTGGAGATCCTTCCCCCCGACGTTCTGACCCTGTCCCTTAACGTGGAGGAATTCAAGAAAACTTCTCAGTTCCTCCAGGCTGCTTATGAATATATAAAATTCACATCACTACATTAAACAAATCTAAATCGATTATTTAGATTTAATACAACAAATGCATACAAGATTCAGATACAAAGACCACAATACCCATGTTTAACACATTTTTTTGGACCCAAGAAGTCGTCAAATAGACAGGGTTAGCGACCCCGGAAACGCTAACCGTGGATTTAGGTTATGTTTGGCAGAACGAGCTGAAGCTGAAGACTTTTGTCTGAATTCAGGGCTATTGTCTGAATCCGAGACTATTGTCTGGAACTGAACTTTAAAGTGCTGAATCTGAACTCTTAGCTGCATGAAGTACTGTTTGACAAAAAGAGTTGAAAATTGTCCAACTAATATGAAATTACATTAAAGGGTATATGTTAATTAACACAATAAATATTTATTATAATGCTTTTATAATTTAATAAATATTGAGATTGTAATACATGTTTATATGTATGTATACTCATATAAAATATAGTGCATTATATACAAAAAAAATTAAAACGCTTCAGTATATTAAACAAAAAAAAAATACTACGTATTAAAATTTGGTCATAGCATGCTCCACTAATTCAAGCCATCCATGAGGAGATGGTTCTATTGGGTGCAGTTCATCAAAGGTGAGAGTTTGAAAAGGTGCAAACAGATAAGAAATCTATTGCTCTCCGGAAGAAAGATTAAAATTTGCTGATTCTTAGAAATATAACTTTGGAATCCGCATAAAAAATGTAACTTGGAGAAAAGAAAGAGAGTCGATGGAGTATCTCACTGAACTTGAACAAGGATATATTGGGAATTGCATGTCTGAAACTATGCGGCGGCTGAGTGTAAACGTTACCTTCCTCAACGTTGGAGTTCAGCCCTATTATTTGAGATCAAGCCCAATTCAGCCCTCCCAACAAACAAGTCTACTTTAATCAAAATTGACTGAATTTTAAAGATTTCAGCCCTTTTTTGGCTGAACTGGCATGCCAAACATAACATTAATGAACCAAACCCCCTCATGAAATATAAATTCGGCACATTAGCCCCATGTAATTTAAAAAATGCGTCAAACCCCCCTTTGTTATAATTAATCATGCGCCAAACCCCCTCCTAGAACAAATTTAATTTCCCAAAAAATGAAAAATGATTAGTTTTTTTGTATAATTTATAAATTTTGACAAAGTTACTTGCATATTCAACCATGTTATTTAAAAAAGTGATTTCAAAATTGTAAAATTTGTTCTTGAAAGGGTTTTTGCACATGATTAATTAAAATACAGGTTTGTCGCATTTTTTAAATCACAGGAGGTTAATACGGCGAATATATATTTCACCGGGAGGTTTGATGCATTTAAATCTTCTTAACGTTTTTGCATGGTCGAAACCCTTAGAAAAGGTCCGGCGCAGCATGGTCAAGCCCATTTTAATCTATGAGCCCAAAATAAGTGACGGGTTGCAGACAATAAAAAGGAATAAAATCAGCCGAACATAAATCAGCGGAAACTAATGCGAACCCTAAAATCTAACATACGACGTTTAGAGAGATATAGAGTATGAATGAGGCGGCGTTCTGGGGAATGCGAAGAAGCGCCGTTTTGATGATCGATGCTCTGGCGTTCTGGGGAATGCGAAGAAGCGCCGTTTTGATGATCGATGCTCTGTCGTCCATGCGTCCAGGGCCCTGTGTCGGCCGTCTTCCCTCTCCGGCTCTCCGAGTCCGACTAGCTTTGCCTCTATCTCCATGTATACTCTAAATTCAAATACTCTTTTACACTATTTTTCTTGATTAAACTTGTATTATTTGTTAAACATTGTATTATTTGTTAAGCATTGTATTATTTTGTGAAACATTGTTAATCTATTTGAATATTTGATGAACCGAGGACCTGGAGTGATTGTGTCATTGTGTTTTATATGTGAAACATTGTATTATTTTGTGACTGTGTTATTATGTATTTTTTTAGTTTTGTAAATCTATTTGATTCTTAATTGAATTTTTCAGTACATAATAAAATAGTGTTTATTCATTATAAATTTATAATGGTTAATAATAAATTGTTTTTTCCAAAAAATGATTAAAGATAAAATTAAAGATTAGTGAATGATTTATTTATTATACAATTGAAGATTAGAGAATAATTTATTTATTGTGTGGACATGTAAGAAATAGTTAAAAATTTCAACTGAAATTTGAAATACTAGAATCTTTAATAATCATTAATAAATTTATAAAATCGCGGTAAAAATGTTTAAATTTTAAGTTATATACAGTTTAATTTATTCCTATGATTTATAAGTTAACGATAGGTCGAGCCCGGCCGGATTGAACCGAACATCACTAAGCTCAAACTCGGCTTGAATAACGATTCGAACTGAAAATCTAACCGTTTTCGACTTCAAAGCTTGTTAAGCTTGAGTCATTAAATTAAATTTGAAATCACGTTCAAACTCGAGTAGTTAAAAAAAAGCTTAGTTCGATAACAACCCTAAATTAAACATTTTGTGTGCAGTAACAACTTTTTTTACTGCTTAGCCCACCCCACATCCGGTTCCTGGATCCGCCCCTGTGTGGATGATATTATTATTACTGGCAATTCTGAATCATCTGTTACCCAATTTATTTCAATTATCTCTAAACATTTTGCTATGAAAGACTTGGGTAATCTCCATTATTTTCTGGGTGTTGAGGCTATTCGTTCAGCTAAAGGTATATTTCTCTCTCGACATAAATATGTTACTGACCTTCTAGCTCGTTTTCATCTTCATACTGTAAAGCCTGTTCGCACCCCATTAGCTTCTCGTACTACTCTGTCTCTTTCTGATGGTGAGTTATTGTCTGATTCTACTGAGTATCGCAGCATGATATGGTTGGTGCATTACAATATTTAACTTTGACACGGCCAGATATTACTTATGCAGTACACTTAGTGTCTCAGTTCATGCATGCTCCTCGTACCACTCATCTTTTTGCAGTCAAGAGAATTTTCAGGTACTTGCAGGGAACACGAGATCATGGTCTCTGGCTTCAGCAGTCTAATCGGCCAACATGTGTAGTTGCTTACTCCAATGCAGATTGGGCAGGTTGTCCTGATAGTTCTCGGTCCACCACAGGTTTTGCTGTATTTTTGGGTCCTAATTTGGTTTCCTGGAAGACTAAGAAGCAGCCTACTGTGTCCAAGTCCTCCACAGAAGCGGAATATCGTGCCATTGCTTACACAGTACAAGACACACTACATATCCGATCAGTACTGTTCGAACTTGGATGGCCTATCTCAGATCCGGCACATTTATTATGTGATAATATATCTGCTTCTTACTTGACTGCAAATCCAGTTCAGCATGCTCGCAGTAAACATATTCAAATTGATTATTGATAGCCGTTATATTTACTTGTGTTTAACATAAGTATTTATAAGTATTTGTTGAAGAAAAGAAGATAAATTGGGAAAACAACTTCAAAATGAGAGCTAAAGCATAAAACATTGTGATGAACGGCTTTTGGGACCAAAAGGATGACGTTTTGCCCATAATTTGAGTATAACGTATTTTATAGAACTCGAAATCACTCGATCCGAGATTCATGTGAATGTTAACTCAATAAGGAACAAATGTTATGAAGACGTCATGGGCAAAATATGAAAGGAACAATACTCAATCAACAAACAAAGTCAGATGTTGCTGGTGGGATTTAAGGATGCATACCTCTCAGTGTTTTAGCCATAACGTTTGATTGGATGAATAAAATCACGTTATTCAAGTTTTGGTGGATGGAAGACTTCATTATCTACAACTTTAGTGAAGGAATCATGTCCAAATTCGTAGCGGAACATCCCCAAAATCCCGGTACAAAAACCGACACTTTCTGATCCATTTCGGAGGAAGAGAAAGGAAGTATATTTTTTGGGCGCAGCAACCGGCGCCGGTCAGCAATGAACCGGCGCCGGTCGGAACGTTTTTTCACGCACAAATGAGCCCGTTTTCAACCGGGGCCGGTCATCCTACCAACCGGCGCCGGTTGGGTCATTTTTCTGCTAAAACACAACGACGTGCAAGCTTATTCTTGATGGGAAAACTTCATCTTCCTCATATTTGATCAAATATCTCCTCCATACCTGATTGTTGGGCTTGAATAGACTAAAAGATGACATTCTTTAGCCTATATAAAGCCTTCAATTCATCAAACATAAATATTCCATTCCATAGATTAATTCTTAGCTTTTATATTTTTGTTCTTGATATTTTCTTCAAGTTCTTGAGGAGGGAAGTTCATCCTCCGAAATCATTGGTGTTTAGGTATTATTTCCTTTGTAATTTCATGTTCCATTACATTTATTATTGTATTGTGATTAATATGAGCATTAGAGGCAAATTTCTTAGCTAAGGCTAGGGATGAACTTCTATGCCCACTAGGTGTTTGATAAAAGTTCTAAACCAATAAATTGTGATTTATCCTTTATATATTGATTGTTTATGACTATGGTGTACAACATAGAAGTATGTTAAATTTAGTTTATACTTGCAATTAACGTTGAAGTCTAAACTATGAACACTAAAGGATAAACATATATAGTACCGAGAATAGAAATATATCCGGTCTTATATGATACGGGTGTGATGTCTTGATATTCAACGGGGTTTTCGGTAGATGAATGTAAGCCGTAACGGGACTTACACGTAACGAAAACCACGCTCTCGCTGCCTTAACCGGAGTTGAGAATATATTAGCGACATCGTATTCATAATTATTGGCAAAGAACTAATATTCAACCCTATTTAAGCATTTAAGTGATTCCCGAAGCCTTAGTTGTTGTTATCCTTTATCTTGAACTCAAAGTTAGTTAACGATTATCTTGTTGAACAAAAAGTGAAAAAAGCCAAAAATATAAAACACAAATCAAAATCCCTGCACTTTATTCATTTCTTCATTTAAAGTTATCTATTCTCGGACTTGAATTAAACAACGTTTCCTTGTGGATTCGACCCGGTATTTTACCGGAATTTATTACTATATCGGCACTTGTACACTTGCAAGTTTAGCCCGATCAATTATCATTTTGTTCGCGAACGGGTTGCTCATGGAGATCTGATTGTTAAGCATGTTCCTAATCATCTACAGCTGGCAGATATTTTTACTAAAAGTCTCTCTAGTCAACGTTTTCATTTTTTGAAAGACAACCTGCGCGTTGTATCTCCCGCACAGTTTGAGGGGGTGTAATAGAATTATTAGAGGCTTAGTATTGTACTTTACATTAAACTCTCTTTAATATAAATATATCTGTTAGGGCTCCTCAGGGAGTAACCTTTCCCATTATTTCACAGGTGGCACGTGAGGAGGTTGGGTCATGTGTACTGCCATATCAAGTTGAAATGATGACATTTGAGATATGAATATTTAGGACTATAGAAATATCATCAATAGCAATTGAAGTATTGAACAATAGACATTTTGTAGAAACTTGCATCATTGCTTTACGCAGAAACCAATAAAATAATTGACAATACACACATGTGATAATTAAAAAAAACACATAACCACTTCACCCAAGCCATTGTCACCACCACGATCACCTTCACCACCGCTATTAACCTCTCTCCCGAAACTATTGTGAGTGACCACGAAACAATGCAATATTGCTTAGTTCATTGGTTAACGCCGCCCACTTGCTTCTGTTTGTGAGTTAGTTGTCCCTCCACTCAAAACTTGATAATGACTCCTTCCCACCTCTAACTAACTCGTTATTGATCAGTTCCTTAACATTAACCAAAATAATCTATTAGTATCTTATGGCCCAAACCCCAAGGACTTATAGAGGGGTCGCAACTAGAGTAAGTATTGCACAATGAAGAAAAAGAGAGACCATAGGAGGGGAAGATTACCAACCATATTATGTTTGTATTCAATTTATTATTTATAGCTCGGTTCATTATCTCGAATTTTTATGTTTGATGTATAAAATTTGAAATGTACAAACATTAATCAAATATGTAAGCATCCTCTTGCGAGCATAAAATCCTGCCAATAAAGGGATTTTTATCGATCATACAATGTATGTACGCAAGCATTAGATTTTATGGAGGAAGACATTGACTTCCCTAGAAAAAACAGATACAAGGGTTCAAACTAATATGAGGAGCGCCGAAACGAATTGAAACAAAAATATTTTCCTTACATTATTTACACCCAATTATTATGTCCATAAGCATATGCACCAAATTTTGAGCATCCGTAAAATAAGCCTAGCCAGTGGACATTTAAATGTATATAGTCCTCAGACATTAAAAATGCATATACTTTGGAAGAAGGAATGGACACAGACCTTAAAATTTGGCCAGATTTTCTCCCTATCTTCCCTTAGCTTGTTCCCTATTTTCCTTCCTCTCTTTCTCTCCTTTCTTCTTCACGGTTGTTACCCTCAATTTTCTTCTTTTCTTTCTTTTCTCTCTAATCTCATTTTTCATTTTAACTATTAGTATTTCTATTTTACGTTTACAGCTCCCTGGCCTATACTCCCGTGAATGAGCGGGTGTGGTGTATATATTTATGTTTGCATGTATTTTTGTTTTGTTATTGGATATATGGCCGAGTGTCATATGATTGCATATGAAGCATGGAGTTGATGCCATGTCATGTAGTTGAGTGTGATTGTATATCTTTCAAATTGGGTCAAGTAGAGAGGAATGTCTATTTGCTACATTTTGATTTTTGAAGGTCATTATTTCCATGTGACCATTAGACGACCTAGAGAAAAGAAAAGAAGGAATGGCACAAACATTAGTCCCCAACTATCATTGGACAGAAATATGATCAAAATTGTTTTTGACCAAAATGTGTCTGAGACCTTTCGTTTCTCCTTCATAGTTGAAGAGCTTCTGCGCCGCTGGAAAAAATTCCTCCGCAGATGAATATCTCTGTGTGGAGAGAAGACCTCCCAGGCCTTCACCATCGCCTCCGCAGACGAATCCTCGCCACCGCCCTGGTCTTCACCGACTTCCGCTTCTTATTTCTTCTCCACTGCGCCTCCGCTGGCTGATGGTCAATGGTTGCGCCTCTACTAGATTCTCTGTCATCCAGATGGCCGTCGGTGCTAGATCCGCCGCCTGTATGGACGGGTGATTGCGAATTAGGGCCCCCCGGTGCCGGATCTACCGTACTAGATGGATGACGGCTGCGATTTGGAGAAGGGGCTAGAGTTCCGGGTAATGGTTGACGAGCACTTTGTCGTAGTGCGTCAAAATAAATTCAATACTTAACACTTATACGTAGTATAGTGTACTAGAGTTCGTATCAACAGGGAAAGGAATAATTCTCTTTTTAATGAAACTAGTAATTAAAAAGGGGGTTTTGGGGTTGAATGATTAATTAAAAATTAAGATGAACAACCTATATGTGTTTTAATTCAAATATAAAGGGAACTTGACTTTGCTACTTTCCACTTGTTGATATATTTAGTCGATCCTTGTCATATCTATAACTTATCCCCACTCGAATACTCAATTGAGGAGTATATCCAATTCATCGAGGGTAGCTATTAACAACGACCGTTCATTAATAACCCTTACTATTAATCAAATATAGAACAACGCCTTATACCGATTTAATAGTAGCATTTAATCTTTCTAACTCCTTGATGAAATCAATTAATGTTAATAACCTCAACACAACGGTTTCGGTTTAACCAATAAAATTAATCCCTCTTAAGTTTATTAACCACAACCGTACATTAATAGACCGAAGTTACTTACTTGTGAAACCATCAACGATTAACCATCGGTTCGTTGATCGTTTCTAGTAATAATTAATATTGAGATGTTGACTAATTGTCATCTTTGCAACACTCCCCATCATTAATATAGAAATAGAGGGAAGAATTAAAATTCATGGAGAGAAGTTAAGAAAATAACTCACAACTTTAATAATCAACAAGCTTCAAGAGCAAAACCAAGAATGGAAGTTTAGCTCCTCATTTGGAGACTAAACATAGCTAGAAAAATATAAAGAAATGCTATTCTAAACTGAGTCTAAGTATATGGAAGAAGGGATGATGAAAAGTGAAGGAAAATGGGGTTATTTATAGGTGTCTTCAACACCTACGGCCGGATACCCGACCGGGTATTCGTCAAATCATATATTTTTCGCACGTCTTTCTGTTCTTCCGCACGTCTTTTTGCCCGAAATCACTTCATACCCGTCCGGGTATATGGGATACCCGACCGGGTATTAGTGTATTTTCCCAGCAACTTCATTTTTCACTTTATACCCGACCGGGTAAAGGTTATACCCAACCGGGGTTTGCACAAAACTCAGGTTTCTTCATCCTTTTTGCTTCCAAATCTATCCTAAACTTATAGCCCAACTAGCTACAACTTACAACAAACAATAAAATGCTAGAAATACGATTACAATCAAATGCAAACTAACAACTACAAACTTGCACAATACTAATAAATAAACATTACAAACAATTATAAAAATGTATACTTAGGCACTAACAACTAGTGTCTATCAAACACCTCCACACTTGAACCTTTACTCGTCTCAAGTAAATTAAAACCTGCCCATGAATTTTTCAAAACCACAAGAGTAGCAGAACAACCATCCAACATTTTCTTCTTCTTCTTTTTTTGATTATCTTTCTGCATAAATAGATATTTTTATCTCATTCTCTCATTTTGCCTAGGAGCCTTTTCAGGTTTTCATCCTAGCCTCTCTTTTTATTTTTCGTTTCTCACAACTCACTCATTTTAGCAACTTTTGCTTAATCACATTCTTAACATTTTCACTCCTAGAAGTTCCATAGGAATGCTCAATTTTTCGACTCTTCACTTTGAAATATTTCAAGGATTAAATATGCAGATTTTCATTGAATCATGTGGGAAGAGTGAGGGAGAGAAATTATTGTTTAGCATGGTCAATGGAAAGTGTTTCGATTCCTTAATTTTGCTGAAGATTTCAAAGCTGTCAATGTCCTTTTCAATTTTATGAGTTTCTCGTAAAGTTTTTAGAACTGTTGGGGGTACCTCAAAGGATGATACAGATAGATATTTGACCTTGAAACTCGGTTCAACCTCATCTTTGACCAGATGGAGCTCCATGTCTCTTTCTTCTTCTACTTCTTCTGGATTTTGGGTCTCCTTTTGCATTTCCTTCTCATTTGTCAATGTGATTGCAAAAGTTTGCTGTTTAGGATCACATTCTATTTGAGAGAGAAGTTTTCCCGAATCCTTTGCTTCAAGCCTACTCAAAGCTCCAGCTATTTGACTCATTTTAGTTTCCAAGTTTAAAATGCTAGACTTGGTCTCATTTTGAAATTGCACCATGTTGTTTTGCATGGTGGTCATGTTGGAAGCAATAGCCCGA